AGGCGTCATAGGGCATTGTTTAGAGATCGTGCTTTCGAACAAAATCACATTACATTACGTAAAAGGGTATTATGACGTATTTTTAAAGTTTGTGGTGCTGTATTCTAAAGGTAGGCCAATATAAGCTGTTCCCTCGGGTGTAATACGGTCTGAGAGAATGTTCGTTTTACATGACAGGATTCGTCATTAATATAAGCTGTTCCCTCGAGTGTAATACGGTCTGAGAGAATGCTCGTTACACATGACAGGATTCGTCATTAATATAAGCTGTTCCCTCGGGTGTAATACGGTCTGAGAGAATGTTCGTTATACATGACAGGATTCGTCATTAATATAAGCTGTTCCCTCGAGTGTAATACGGTCTGAGAGAATGTTCGTTATACATGACAGGATTCGTCATTAATATAAGCTGTTCCCTCGAGTGTAATACGGTCTGAGAGAATGTTCGTTACACATGACAGGATTCGCCATTTTAAGAAAACCTCTAAAATCTGATGTTAAAAACAGAAGGAACACGTTTACTGTATCCCAGGAAGCATACTGATAATCGTAACACTGCCAGGGGTCTTTTCAGACATCAAGAACAAAAATGCTAACATCGTTAGTAAAGATACACATCGGCCAGTCGCCATATTTAACAACAGACTGAAACAAAGTCACAAAACTGGGATTCATTGGTACCTTGAACGTAACTGCTGGACTGTATGGGGAAAAACTCAAGCGATCGTCAAAATCGAAGATAGATATTGACCAACAATGGCGAGATACAGCAGATGTATACAAGCAACAACAATGGCGTCGTTTTGCTGAGATCGGTAGCTACGCGACGACCGGCACTATCGGAAGGGAGGTAACTCTCAGCTTCCTTGAGTTTCATGTACCACTACTGATCTGCTTAACTGGTGTCACTGGTGTAGCGCAACCAGTATTTCACTCATTCTCAGTTAGCGTGCACATTTGTGATCATGGAAATCGAATTTTTTTTTATCTGAACACAAATTCTTCGATATGACAACGACAAGTATTATTTACTTGACCTATGTACAGAAGGATAGGATACAATGTCTTTATGGTTTGTTAATAAACGGCAGTTACTAGCATTTGGGGTATCTTATAGTTTATTTTACGTCACACAAAATAATTTAATGTTAGATATATGTAAAACTATAGTACAACTTGTTTTAATTCTTTCCTAAAATCCTTTAACAAACTAGAGTTAATTTCAACACAAATAAACCAAAAGCGTAATCAGATGTTATAGAGAATTTGACCGTTATACTGGCAATTGGTGGAACTTCAAACAAGAATTTCCAAATAGATTCTCTAGTTCATCTAAAGTAATATTGAAAGCCTTACACTGGCATTTCTATATGTATAGACAACGTCGAGGAGTTATGCGACCTGGAAATATAGTTATTTGCTCCATAGTGGTTATCAAATGTATCACTGTAAGGTAATAAACATTTAATGCAACTGTAACGTAAAATACTGTCAAACATAACGGCTGCAGTTTTTTTTGTCATTTTAAGAAAACTGCAAATACAAATAAATGAATAACATATCTCTAGCAAACGTTTAGCAACAAACGTTGGATTATATAGGTATTGTGGTCATTTAACACCAGTACAATCTAACTGTATATTACGTTACAGCAACTGTATTTTACGTTACGAATGACATACGATAATTTCAGTATGTTTTTCATTACCGAGCATGATTATACCTGATACATCTCATTAGACTATCTTCATTACACGCACTGATAAACGTTTAACAGTTTGACTTGTACACATATACAAGAATCATAAGGTTGAAAGTTCAGTACTTACATACCGATGATTTAACCCCTCACAGCTTCAGATCATGAGCAGCACGCACATTGAAATCGGCATGAATGACGCAACATGTTTTCATGGCGTCATCAAATTTGTTAGTGGCGTATGCACATTATGTGATGTTAAACAGCCATATATGGAACTGTAACGTAAAAATACCGTAACGTATAATAAGTAACGTAAAGTACTGTAACGTGGAATACGTAACGTAACATACATCAGTGATTATTTTGAGCCACGCAAGTTAAACAAATGATAAAGTGCAAATATAGGAGACGGGAAATGGAACTAGGTTGCATACTTCTTACCAGATGATCATATAGATGTGCTCATGTTATGTATAAGGTCTTATAACGTCGTAACGTAAAATACACCCTTGTCTATACTGTATATGCATTGTATCTTCAAAGAATTGTCGACAGTGGAATTTCATTAAAATCTCAAATATTAGGTTAAATGGCCAACTCACAGTAACATTCAGCATGATATCTTCCACGTGATGCATAAAAGATTACATTCACTATCACTAGTGTTATTTTTGATGCAACAAATATATACACCCTCGCTGGCGACATGCAACGTTTAACTTAAATGGGAGGTGAGGTGAAATTGGGTTTTACGTCGTGCTTGAGAATATTTCGCTCATATGACGACGTGTATGCGTGTGTATGCGTACGTGCGGCTGCTTGTACTAGCCCAGACTTAAGCTGGTTTTATAGTGCTAGCCCACCGAGATACCATGCCGCAGTGAAGCATGAATACCCCACTCAGACACATTATACTGACTCCGAGCCGACTAGTCCTTGATGTACCCATTTATGCCGAGCGCCAGGCAGGGACCAACAAGTACCATATTTTAACGTCTTTTGGTATGACGCGGTCGGGGATCGAACCCGCGACCTTCCGCTCTCCGGGCGGACGCTCTAACCACTACACCACGGAGGCGGCAGTCACTTAAATGGGATGTTTTGCATATCGTAAGAATATACTTTTCATGTATTGTGGAAATGGTAATGGTAAATTAACACATAATACCCAATGTATCTTTATTTCCAAACTATCAATATTTTCGCACTTACAATCATGCGACAACGCAATAGAGTCAATGTGCAGGTTGAGTGAGAATGAGTGATTTAGTCAATAGGCTTGTAGCCAAACAGGGTGAAATATGTATTACACGTGGCTGCGGGAGCGCATCGCTAGCGTTCCTCATAACGAGTGTAAATGATCAATTTTTCAACAGCCCAAATCTACCAGCCATTGCTGTTTATGAAATTGTAGAAAAAGGCATTGTAAGGCCACATAAAAACAATATTCTTGTTATTCATCACTTTTTTAAAAAAAAATATGGGTCGGTCGGGCGGATTCTATTTTCTTTTATGTCCAAAACCACTTAATTTCTGTGGATTTTTACTCCTTTTCTCGGATAGAAAATCAAAACTTAGAAGTGTGAAAATCCATGCACATTTTGAGAGTCAAAGTTGCATTTTCTCTAGTGTAAATTTTTTATAAAAATCGTTGGGTCGGGTCGAAGTTTTGGGTGGGGTGGTAATGTGAAACAAGAATAATTTTACATTTGGCCGTATTGACATTCAGTCGGGGAGAGGCCTTTGGTCCCAGTTAAGAGAGTATTATGTTTCCGAAGTCCGCTCAAGTTCTGTCCCGAGCGTCCGGACTTTCGATGTAAACTGGACTGTAAAGTGCGTGTAACGGTAACATACTTTTCCAGAAATGAAAGTACAAACTGCACTTGACGCTCCATGCATGTGTGTGCTGATATGCGTTTGTGCGTGAGTGCGTGCGAGCTTGTTTTGATTGGGTATAGCTGAAGATTAATAGCCTTTAGGTCTGGTCAAGTGTACGTTTGCCATCACTCCACAGAAAGTCTTTGAATGTCTACGAAAAGGGGAATTCGAATACGGCACAACTACGCCTTTAATCCATAATACAAAGATAATACCGATAAAGGGGAAAAGCGACACTTTTGGTCAGACCAATAAACCAGGAACATATTTCCTTCTGCCCTGTGGTGCCATGACCAGGGAGACTGCTGCTTAAAATCAGCTGATGAAATACCAGCGCCTTGAGCATGCACTAGTTGTGAGGATATGTGCGCTATATATAAATATCCTATGAATGAATGAATCAATGAACGTTAGTAGGCCCCTTACGTTTGTCAACGTACACACCTAAATGTTGATATACGAAATCCGTTCAACTAGTGCAACTAGTGCATGCTCAAGACGCTGGTATTTCATCAGCTGATGGCGAACAAAAATGCTGGCAGTAGGCTACACATCGGCCCATCAACCACACTGAACAGTGGGACAAAGTCCTCAAACCGGGAATAATTGGTACCTTGAAAGTAACTACTTGACTGCATGTTACTAAACTCAAGCGTAGTTCAAAATCGAAGGAAGATATAGACTGACAATGGCGAGATAAAGCAGATGTATTCTAGCAACAACAATGGTGTCGTTCGGTAGCGAAATGTCAATACTTACCACTAAAACGAGACAAATTTGAAACACGCATGCTTATTGAATTCCCATAACAATCCGGAATTCCCATAACAATCCGTTGTATTCCCCATAACACTCCGGAATTCCCATAACAATCCGTTGTATTCCCCATAACAATCCGGAATTTCCATAACAATTCGTTGTATTCCCCATAACACTCCGTTGAATTCCCATAACAATTCGTTGTATTCCCCATAACACTCCGGAATTCCCATAACAATTCGTTGTATTCTCCATAACACTCCAGAATTCCCATAACATTTCGTTGTATTCCCCATAACACTCCGGAATTCCCATAAAAATTCGTTGAATTCCCCATAACAATTCGTTGTATTCTCCATAACACTCCAGAATTCCCATAACAATTCGTTGTATTCCCCATAACAATCCAGAATTTCCATAACAATTCGTTGTATTCCCCATAACGCTCCAGAATTCCCATAACAATTCGTTGTATTCCCCATAACACTCCAGAATTCCCATAACAATCTGTTGCATTCTCCATAACACTCCGGAATTCCCATAACAATTCGTTGTATTCTCGATAACACTCTGGAATTCCCATAACAATTCGTTGTATTCCCCATAACACTCCGGAATTCTTGTAACAATTCTTGTACAGAAGGATCACATAACAACGAGATGAACTTCAGAAACGAGTTTATTACATATTCTCTGAACTGAAAAATCTTGTACAAGGTCTCGAGTTTGGAGACGCGATACCGGCTGTCAACTGTACTGGATACATCAGTCGCTGGGTATTGCCTGTCACATCATTGATGTAGAACCTGGTACTTGTCTGTATACCTCCCACGACTGATATTCCTGGACTGTAAACAAATAAATTGTATAATGAACTTTGAAACTTAAAAATATATGAACTAACAGCAACTGGAACTGGACCCATGCAATGTAAATGTATGCAAACCTACGACACTGACCAGATCACAAACAACCGGACCTTGGACCACCCTGATCCCGATGACAATCGGCGAGTATCAAAATACCTCACTAGACGGTAAACTGTAATACTTCATACCTGCTATAAATCACGGACTTGTGATAACTGTAACCTGTATGCTTAATAGGGTTGTGTATTGGCAAATAAATTGTCTTGCAATGTAGTGCGATACGTATTGCGATATATCGGGAACTAAAGTGTGTGACAGTGAGTGACACTAATTGTGCATGGCAATCTTATTTTCTACATTATAAGTCCCTAAACATATATGTTATGGTTCTGATAGCAGCAATCTCAAAATTAGGTTGCATAGTCATAGATTTTATTTTTTAAATACAATTAATAGGATTACAGTGTGCCGTTTTGTCAATGAATAAGGAAGGAAAATATTTGTGTAGATTTTAATTTAAACCATAAAGACATTCAAACAAACTTTATATGTTTTTTACCCAATATACCAATTCTCAGAAAAGAAACTATTGCCATACGTATCATTTGAAAATATGCAATATACCGGTATACCGGTAATACCGTACAGTCCAATCCATCGGAATGAATCTGGATGTCAACAACATGATGTACCTCCTACACCCTGATATGGCAGGAATAATGCTGACAGCGCGCAGTGTAAAACACCACTCCTTCGATCTCTAGATTTCAAGGTTTCAATGATTAAAAATGTATTTGGACATCTGAAGGCATGAGAAATTAAGAATAAGGCGGTATTTAATGTTCACAACAAATTTTCAAATCCCATTCTGGACGTGTATACGCAAAGAATACACGTTTCCCCCGACAGACAAATGGGGCTGCAGAATTCTGTACTGTCACTGGAAGCTTAAGGTTAACTGGACTGCCGGAATGAGTTTAGACTTACGCCGCTTTTAGCAATATTCCAGCAATATCACGGCGGAGGACACCAGAAATGGGCTTCACACATTGTGCCCAAGTGGGGAATCGAACACGGGACTTTGGCGTGACGAGCCAACGCTTTAACCACTAGGCTATCCAACCGCCCCAGGTTAACTGGAAGCTTTGGGTTATGCTTGACTGTGATCCATTATGTAACATACGTAGCGAATACTTCATATAACAAAATAATGCAGCAAACAACAATTTGAACAAAAAACAAAACAAAGTTTACTAACGAAATAACAAACAACTGGAAATTATAACAGATGTTGTTTGTGACTTATTTGCCACAAATGTCCCACAAAATGGCACTTTATACGTCGTTTTTGTTGGAGGTGAAGACTCTTTTCACCAGACGGATGAAACGGGACAGCAAGGCTCTCAGGAAGGATTGGGGTGGGAGGGGTTGTGTGTCGGCCTCGCTGCTCAGATCTATCTCCACAAAGTCAGTGTCAGCCACAATAAGTTGGCCGGTGATGTTGACAGAAACAGAGGCGGGGACTGGGTCGGGGACAGAGATGTAGGAGGTGGGAAGGTTGGACAGGGGCTCAGGGTGGAACACACAAGGACGCTAGTGGGGAGGGAAGTGGGAACAGAGAAATAATGAGACAAGGGTGATATGAAGGGCGGGTTGTATGCTGGGTAATGAAAGACGGTAAGAATGGAAGGTTATGGAACATGAACACTTGGACACGAGGCATTTTGTCTCAGACATTGACCTGTTGTGAAAACAAATACTGACTGACTTACATTTTAGTTCCCTACAGGAGCTGATACAAGTTTCAGTTTCAATAATTTAGTTTTATTTCTAAAACCTTAGCACACCTACTCGACGTGGGACAGGAGTGACAGCAGTGGTGAGCAACTGGCGAAACATGACCTCAGTGTTGTGGAGAAGTGATGAAAATTCTTGAAATAAAAAATACACTGAAAGTCATAGTTAAGTACAAGTAATATAAGCTGTTCTCTCGAGTGTAATACGGTCTGAGAGAATGCTCGTTACTCATGACAGGATTCGCCATTTTAAGAAAACCTCTAAAATCAGTAGTTAAAAACAGAAGGAACACGTTTACTGTATCCAAGGAAGCATATTGATCAACGTAACACTGCCAGGTGTCTTTTCAGACATGAAGAACAAAAATGCTAACATCGTTAGTTACTTAGTAAAGATACACATCGGCCAGTCGCCATATTTAACAACAGATTGAAACAAAGTCACAAAACTGGGATTCATTGGTACCTTGAACGTAACTGCTTGACTGTATGGGGAAAAACTCAAGCGATCGTCAAAATCGAAGATAGATTGACCAACAATGGCGAGATACAGCAGATGTATACAAGCAACAACAATGGCGTCGTTTTGCTGAGATCGGTAGCTACGCGACGACCGGCACTATCGGAAGGGAGATAACTCTCAGTTTCCTTGTGTTTCATGTACCACTACTGATCTGCTTAACTGGTGTCACTGGTGTAGCGCAACCGGTATTTCACTCATTCTCAGTTAGCGTGCACATTTATTTAATTTTCTTTTATGTCCCAAACCACTTAATTTCTGTGGATATTTACACCTTTTCCCCGATAGAAAATCAAAACTTAGAAGTGTGAAAAATCCATGCACATTTTGAGAGTCAAAGTTGCATTTTCTCTAGTGGAAAAAAGATAACAAATCGTTGGGTCGGGTGGTAATGTGAAACATGAATATTTTTACATTTGGCCGTATTGACATTCAGCCGTGGACAGGCCTATGGCCCCAGTTTAGAGAGTATTATGTTTCAGATGTCCGCCCAAGTTCTATCACGAGCGTCCGGACTTTCGATGTAAACTGGACTGTAAACTGTGTGTAACGGTAACATGCTTTTCTAGAAATGAAAGTACAAACTGCACTTGACGCTCCATGCATGTGTGTGCGTGAGTGCGTGCGAGCGTGTTTTGATTGGGTATAGCTGAAGATTAATACCCCTTTGGTCTGGTCAAGTGCACGTTTGCCATCACTCTACGGAAAGTCTTTGAATGTCTACGAAAAGGGGCATTCGAATACGGCACAACTACGCCTTTAATCCACAATACAAAGATAATACCAATAAAGGGGAAAAGCGACACTTTTGATCAGACCAATAAACCAGAAACATATTTCCTTCTGCCCTGTGGTGCCATGACCAGGGAGACTGCTGCTTAAACTCAAGTAATTATGGCTACTGAGCTGGGACTTCTCTTCAAAGACATTATTCATATACCACTCTTCATGCACCTATCATCACAGTTTTACAACGAAAAACAATGTTCAGAATTTGGGAATACATCAGTTTGTCCTAAGGTTCGAAGAGACCAAATAATTACTCCTTTCACACAAAATGGGTGTTTTAAAGACAAAACCAGAAACGTGTCGTGACTTGGCAAATGTGTTTAACATCATAGCACAAGCAAAATGTACTGTGTTTAATTGCAAAGACCGACCCTTAAATGTACATATAGACCTCATCCAATACCCAACTTGGTGTCAAATGATCTTGGTAATGGGACACAATATGCATGCATGGAGGAACGTGATGGACACATGTCCATAAATAAGGAAACAGGCATTATCATATTACATTGGAGAGTTATATTGGATTTATCTACTCCCCACATTTATTAAGCTTCCCGATAATTATTGTGCTCTGATGTTTTTTTCTAATCAAATACATCTGAAATACAAACGCCACTTAAATAAAGTTCTATACAAGCGAAGAAGATAAATACGCTTTTATAATAATGCTTTGAAAAGAAATCTATCTACTCATGGATTATGCCTAGCGACTATTATTTTAATGTTTTTTTATAATTAAATGCATCGAAATACAATGCAACTTAAATAAAGTTCTAAACAAGCAAAGAACATAACCACTCTACTATAACAATGTTTTGAAAAGAAATCTGTCTAATCCCGACATGGATTATGCTTCGCGGCACCGTATCTTTAGCTTTGGCGGTACTCCCCTACTCCCTTTTGAAATTAGCTCTCCCAGGAAATCCAAAATATAAATTTTGGCCTTCCCGGGACATCTGAAAAATATATTTTAGCCTTCCCGGCACGACACCCATACACACGCATGCACATGGTCATATATTAAACCCCATTTCACCTCACCTCACCTCACAATTCACACCATCATTCATTCACACTCTCAATCACCAACAACTACCTGTGACAGTGAAACAATATGTTGAAATCCTGTCTTCAGTACAAGTAAACTGTAGGATCATATACGTAACACCCAACACATAAGTAATGTTTTCTCATAATTTATTGAGAAATGTACACAACAAACAACAAGGTTGATCCACAAGATACATCTGGCTATGTGTATATACATTCATATATAAAATATCTCACTGAGAAACAAATATACATCAAAAAACGTGCAACAGTGACTACATATATTTTCCCTTGGTGAACTCTATGTCTGACTCAGGTGGAGATGCAGGCAGAGCAGCCTTTAGGTCAGACGCTCTCCCAAAAACATCCACCCCACTAACAGAGGAGACACTTAATCCAACATGATGGTGACCTGGAAACAGTCTGTACCAGATAATCAAGTGACTGATATTATCAGCAATTATCCACATTGTTGTCTTACAACAGTGTGTGAAAAAAGCCAAAAACCCAGCCAGACATCTGGGCTGGTAACTTTAAAAACTTACCTGCCCAGAAGGGATTTAACCAGTCCTTCTTAAATACTAAATAGACAGTGCCCGTGGACACGTTATCTGAATGTTTTTTTCACCCGTCCATCGGGCTGGCTAACTGTAAAATTAGACCGTCTGGCAGAAATCTAGCCAGTCTGGGTATTCACAGTAAGATGCTGACAAACCAAAATGTTATAATCAGGTTCAAACCCAGCAGATCCTGGTATGGTTAAGGTTGGTAACTATGCTGTGTGGGTCTTGGCTAGTGTCACTACCTTCTCAAACATTCTTAACCTGAAGTAGTGGCAAGTAACGGTGCTCTTTAAACATATATCAAACAGGAAAAATTAGGCACCATGAATATTTCAGGGGATTTATTTTCATAGTGAAATCAACACAATTTGATAAAAATATCCCTAAATATATTCATGGTCCTTAACTTATTTAGTTCAGTATATCTTCATTTTGTTCTGTATACCCACTGTCAAGTTCTGTTAAATGCATCTTTGACATCTAATTCTTAAGCTGACATTTACAAACGAGTGGATGGCATTTGTTTTGATACAGGTCAACATCACATGATAATCATCATAAAACACAAACAATAACCACTAAAACATTGAGAATGTTGAAGATATATTTCAACATCTAATACTGATTGCACAATGCAAATACAGATTATGCTACAGTTTACAATAAATGGCATGATCTTGGATAATTATTTCATCAAGTAGTGCTACAAACTCTTTGATGCGTCTCTCTGTGTCCTATAATGATTGTTTAATTTCCTGTCTGGAAAATACTAACATTTGAAACCTCTGGGCTAGATATGAACTCCCAATATACTAGTGGTGGTCCGATTAACTGAAATAATCGAAGATTGGTCACAAAGAATAAACGACCAAGCAATTGATCATGTTTTCTCATAATTGAACACTAACAATTTTGGCACACTTGTTTGCATTAACAACATTTTTCACAAGGTTGGTTTTGTCTGTTACAATTCATAAGCACTACAAGCTCATTCCTTGTCATTATTGAATTTATCTTAAAGACTCCAAGAGATTTATGTTCCAAACATACTGGACATCCTTTAAGATGTGAAATTTGTAATGCATTTTATGCAATTTGCAAAAAAACCCTGAAAGAACTTCATTTTTTCTATATTTTTTGTGCATTAACAAAAATAACCAGGAGAATTTGATAAATGACGCTAACCAATTATTTTCGAAGATTGATCAGTTGTAATGAACCAATCATCAATTGTGAGATTTTAACTCATCCCAACACTACAATATAAAGTAGTTCTACTCATGCCATTGTTGTTTCCAGGCCCTGAATTGTTTCCTTCTTAGCTGAAACCTACCACTGTACAGTACTTGTACTCTCTTTCACATCTCATTCTGTGTCCTACATTTTTTTCAATGTACTTTCTTGTATGGGCTATATTCATATTTGAAACCTCTGACTGATACTTCCCATTGTACAGTACTAGTACTCTCTTTCACATCTCACTCTATGTCCTACATTGTTTCAGTGTACTTGTCTGTGGAATATTATCATTTGATACCTCTGGCTTAGCCACAGACTCTACTTCATCTTACAACAGATAATGAAGACAATAAACTCAAGCTAACAGCTGGGAGATATACGCATGGGATCGGGTAGATAACACAGGGATAACATTACGTCATGAACTAAAAACAAAACTACATCAACATATTCTTGTGAGTAAATGAACAAACATGCAAAATCAGATTTGAATTTCTTATAAACCTTTTTAAACATATCGTGATATATAAATATTAAAGGTAGGCAAATAAGTCAGTGTACGGGTTTGAAACCTTCCTGTTGTAAAATATCCCTATAGAAATCATTTACATGAAAAAATAATTTTTTTGCTAAGCACCAAGGCAAATCTTGATAGAACTAAAATAAGCCTAGTTTCAAAGAAAGCCACACTGTGATCTTTCCGATTGTAGAAATTAAGGGTAAAGAAACTTTTTAAATATACAGATTCCAGTCCTGGCTCAAGACAAGGTGTTACCCTGCTCCCAGCATTATTCCAGCTTAATGTTAACAGCGCACACCAATTGAGATTTAGTGGGGGAATCAAACCCAGCATTTCATGTTTTGATGTGTTGAACCAAGCTTGACCCACTGGCCCATAAGTATTAGAACAAAATATACAAATCTGACCTTCCACCTCCAGCATTTATGGACAAAAAGAAACGCTCCATCACAGGACCATGCGATCATTTATCTTTGCTTGGAATGTTGATTGTTTACATATTTATTGGAAATATTACAAACGATTGTGCAGAAAAGATTGAAAACACAGAAAATATACAACATTTGAGAATTATTGGTAAAGGAAATATGGTGAAGATAGACCTCCCTGTTCTCTGTTCAAGATATCGCAATCTACATAGACAAACCAGCACTTGTCATGCTGCTTTTTTATAGATTTTATAGATTTCCTGTCTTAAACTATTTAAGAATTTAAAAAAAGTGATAATTTCACACGCTGTGGTAGATTTCTGGTGGGTTGGTTTGATTGTGTATTTGATTTGGCCATACAAACCTCACAATGATTCACTAGCGTACAGATCAATGACACAGAATGTCACCCTGTCAGAACAAAATTGTTGCATTTGTGGTGAGTCAGGGTACTCACACCATGCTCCCCCAAACACTGACTGACTGACTTTGGTTTTACGCAGCTTTTAGCAATATTCCAGCAACATCACGGCAGGGGACACCAGAAATGGGCTCCACACATTGTACCCATGTGGGAATTCGAACCCGGGTCTTCGGCGTGACGAGCCAACACTTTAACCACTAGGCTACCCCACCGCTCCTCTCCCAAACAAAGAATGTTGTTTACGCATCCCCGTTTATTGATCTATGTTTCTAAAACATAAGATTGTTTATTTGTTTGTTGCATATTCCAGTAGTCAGCAGCCTGTAAATAATGGAGTCTGGATCTGACAAACAAGGGGTTGATATAAAGAGCAACAGTCTACACCATCAGTATATTAGCCATGTCACCATAACTGACCATCCAATCCGTGAAGATTCGGGATATAATTGATCTTCAGTAACCCATGCTTGTCGTAAGAGGCAACTAACGGGATTCCAATTTTGAGATCGATGCTCATGATGTTGATCACTGGATTGTCTGGTCCAGACTCGAGTATTTACAGACCGCCACCATATAGCTGGAACATTGCTGAGTGGCGTTAAAAAACAACCAAACCAAACTGACCATCTGACCACCAAATCTTTTCTTACAAGCATAGGCAGCTGGGGACTAATTTTAACCCAGGCTCACAACTGAGAAAAATATAAAAATACATGATGAAAAACTAATAACATAAAGCAACAGAAATTTTAATATATATCAGTCTGTGTATAACACTATGTACACATAGCACAGACACCTGTACCCTGTGTTCAGTATAATTGAGATATCTGACTAACATACTGATACATATTTGGACATTTGAGTAATGATGAAAATTGCGATACTAATTTTGAAATGTGATTTGCATGAAATGACCAGACAGACACTGCTCTATGAAATATTTGTATTATTTGCATGGTTCACGCAAGCTTGTCAATCTGTGTTAGCATTTTGTTTTGTGAAGTTCAGTTTACGCTTGGATAAACAGTCCAGGTTATAGCAGAATGAAGCAAATATTAACTTCTGAAAACTGAATAAACACATGGGTAAACAAATCATACATTGTACCACACTGTATATTGATACATCTGTGAATCATGAACTCCCATTGTACTATAGTGTACAGTATGTGAGTCATAACAGTTCCACAATCCATCCTACAAGGAAAAACAGACTGCACTGACAATATTTGAAGGGTTTGTACACGCTACGTTCCTCCATCACTGTGGCTAGTTGGTTGGTTTATTGATGAACACCGCTCTCAGCAATATTCCAGCTATATGGCAGCAGTCTGTAAATAATCAAGTATGGACCAGACAATCCAGTGATCAACAGCAAAAGCATCGCTCAACGCAATAGGGATACGACGACATGTGTCAACTAGGTCGGCGAGCCTGACCACCCGATACCGTTAGTCACATCTTGGGTTACTGAAGACCAATTCTAACCCGGATCTTCACACCTACCCATCACTGTGAATACAACCTGTCAATACAAAAAATCTTATTTTTAGTCAGCCAATAAAATGAGGCCTCACTAAGTTCAAATGAGCTGGTACCTGTGAAGGGCTAGAATTGGTCTTCAGTAACCTATGACTGTCATAAGATGGGGTTTACAGGATCGTATGGTCAGGCTCAGACACATGCCATCGTATCCCAATTGCGTAGATTGCAATATTCCAGCAATGTCAGGGGACACCAAAAATGGGCTTCACCCATTGTTCCTATGTGGGGAATCAAACCTGGGTTTTCAGAGTGACGAACGGACACTTTAACCATAGGCTACTCCACCACCCCTTGGCAGCTGAGGGTTATATGGGTTCCGAGAGGTAAACTGACTGACTGACTGACTGAGTTTGGTTTTACGCCGCTTTTAGCAATATTCCAGCAACATCACGGCGGGGGACACCAGAAATGGGCTTCACACATTGTACCCATGTGGGGATTCGAACCCGGGTCTTCGGCGTGACGAGTCAACGCTTTAACCATTGGGCTACCCCACCGCCCCCCCGAGAGGTAAAAAAATGACAATGAGTGAATAAGAGCGTGAATGATTATTGTTTAACATCGCTTCAGCAATCATGCAGCAATTCATTGCGTGTGCTATGTGATGAAACCGGAGCACTCTTAACACTGAGTACAAGCTGGTTTCAATGTTCAATGGCTAGATGCCCAGAGCATGGCTTCATCAATTGGTGATAAATAGCGACCACACCTCATAGCAGCCAATGTATTCCTGGGTGTAGGCAATACACAAACCCATCAAATATAGACATAACATAACCTGCTTTTCTGATCCAATATCTACATGAATGCCCATCACTTCCATAAAACATATCACAGACACAACACTCCACCATGTCTAAATCCTCTTAACATCAACATTACATAAAGGACATCAACTGGATAACAGAACCTCACACTTGTCACAATCTTCCCACTGAGTTAAAGTCAAGGCTTTTCCAGTATAAGCAAATATTATGGATGACATCCATATTTGCTTTTACTTGAATACCAACTTTTAAATGCCTCTCATGAACCTCCAGGCTTTTCCATTTAGAACAGTTTCACATGTAGTCTAGTACATTGCTCCTCAAACCAAGAGGATAATGACAATGGATAAAGTCTGATCATCAGCAACTACGTCCATAAGGCTTTATTAGTGATTGTAATGCCCATATGTTAATTATTAAAACAAGAACACAGATCTGAATATTTCTAGTTCCAATCTGGGCATATTTGCTGACATTGTCTGTAGAACTGGGTCTGTATCTGCTCAGTCAACCCTAGTTCATGGTAGAAACATGATCTGCTATAACAATGACTGACATTCTGACTAGAATCTCTCGCCTTGTGAATCCCTGACACTTCTTTCTTCATTCCTGTCATCAGTCTCTTTGGGAGATTAGTGTTTATCTGATCCTGTAGCTCTCACATTCCGGCTTGAATGCAGTTGCCTTGCCAACCACAGGGAATTTTTCTGCAATATTTGTGACACGCCTTTGCTGTCACTACACATAACATGACATAAACACTAAAAGTTGATTCATTACACTTCTTTAAGAATGATGTCTTACCATGTTTCAATCTATTATTTATCACATGTATTAATGGAAGTACTGAATGAAGCCGACACATTTACTCATTTTTGGCTGCAAATATGCTCTGATGTTGTTCCAGCGAAGTTTGGCTCAAAATGTTGACATCCCATTTTGGCTAGGCAGTCATTTTGAAGTTGTTTGTGCACAATCAAATCAGATGAAGGTGAAAGGCTGATGATAAATTACCACCCTGCTGACATTACAATAGGTTCACACATAAGCCTAGCATGTGTACACGTGTAACAAAGAGAGAAATGTCCAGCTGGAAAAACCTCAGACTGAAGGCCCATATAACAGGACACAACAGCACCACGCTTCCTCCATGCTTCAATATTTGGCCAGTTGAATAATCAATATCACAGACTTTGAAACTTCTCTTAGAAGCAGATATCTGCAAGACACATACAATGCTGATAACAGATTCTTGGACACACATCTGTCATACAGCAGATTCTGAAGACACACATCTGTCCTACAGCAGATTCTGAAGCCACACAAGACACATCTGTCCTACAGCAGATTTGGAAAAGATGCTTCTATCCTACAGATCATTCTGAAGACACACATCTGTGCTAGAAGCAGTTGAAGACACACATCTGTCCTACAACAGATTCTGATGACACACATCTGCTAGAAGCAGTTGAAGACACACATCTGTCCACAGCAGATTCTGAAGACACACATATGTCCTACAGCATATTCTGAAGACACACATCTGTCCCACAACAGATTCTGAAGACACATGTGTGCTACAAAAGATTTTGGTTGACGTGCACCTGTTTTTTAAAGCAGAATATTCCCAAGACACAAGTGCCAACACTAGTGCACCAGCAGTAGGACAAGACACACATCTAGAAGCAGCATCAGCATCTTCTGTTTGGTGGTGATCACTTCTGTTACCTCTGCTTCTTCCGGGACCTCTTCCCTGTGGGCGAGGCCTGCGCTGCTGCGGCCCCCACGATGACCTGCCCCTCCTGGATCTCCTCCTGGGAGACCTCGGTGTTGTTGGACAGCTTCTGCTGGGCCTCCAGGTAGAACATGATGTCTCTCAGCTGATCCTGTAGGTCTCGCACCTCCTGCAGGAAGAACACACAATAGGCATTTGGGGAAAATCTGAAAAGTGTTGAATGTCTTACACATCAGTCTGTGAGTGACTAATGTGTTACACATCAGTCTGTGCCATTTTATACTACAAGGAATCCTAAGAGAGTGTGTTTGTTAAACCCCTATGCTGTTTTAGTCAGTCTCTTGTTAAACAGCATATGTCCATTTTATACACATCAGTCAGAGAGTCTCTTGTGAGAGAGTGTGCTCTTGTTAAACCCCTATGCTGTTTTACATCCTAGTCAGAGAGTGTGCTCTTGTTAAACCCCTATGCTGTTTTACATCCTAGTCAGAGAGTGTGCTCTTGTTAAACCCCTATGCTGTTTTACATCCTAGTCAGAGAGTGTGCTCTTGTTAAACCCCTATGCTGTTTTACATCCTAGTCAGAGAGTGTGCTCTTGTTAAACCCCTATGCTGTTTTACATCCTAGTCAGAGAGTGTGTGCTCTTGTTAAACCCCTATGCTGTTTTACATCCTAGTCAGAGAGTGTGCTCTTGTTAAACCCTATACATGCTCTTGTTAAACCCCTATGCTGTTTTACTCCAGAAAGTCCTAGTCAGAGAGTGTGCTCTTGTTAAACCTATGCTGCTATGCTGTTTTACATCCCAGTCAGAGTCTGTCTTGTTAAACCCCCAAGTGAATGAGGTTTTAACATCCTCATCAGTGAGTGCATGTTTGCTAAAATCGCTAGTCGGTGAGCGTATGTGAGCGTACCCTAGTCAGAGAGTGTGCTCTTGTTAAACCCCTATGCTGTGAGTATATGCTGTTTTACACACTAGTATGTGAGTGTACACTTGTTTAACCTCTAGTCTATGAGCGTACACTTTTAAAACCCTTGTGAGCGTATGCTCATTAAACCCATTGGGTTTCTCTGTTATGCATCTCCTATTATACCCTCATAAACTAAGGAACCATTTCAGACAGCTCTCCCATCAAGTATGACATAAGGAGTGAACTGAGAGCCTGATTGTGATTGAGTCATACCTTGTCCTTGACAGCCAGACTGTCCTTGAGCTTGTTCTCCAGGGCAGTGACCTTGTTCTGCCACAGCTGCTGGTTATCCCGCAGACACGTGTTCATCTGCTGCTCCTCCTTCAGCTGGCACAATGACTTGGACAGTCGTTCGTGGTACTGCCAACAGATCAACAAATCTCATCCATCATTTCAGCAGAGTTTATTCTGACCTTGCTAAATTGTCAGCCAAGGAATTATGACCAAAAATTTATTTAATTTTTTAACAAGTTATGGCATTAAGATGTACAATAATGTGACCCAACGTGATACCAATTTAAGGTAATATTCATACTGACTGAGTGAGCGAGTTTTAGTTTTACGCCGCTTTTAGCAATATTCCAGCAAAATCACAGTAGGGGACACCAGAAATGAGCTTCATACATTGTACCCATGTGGGGAATCAAACCCGGGTCTTCGGCGTGATGAGCAAACACTTTAACCACTAGGCTATCCCACTGCCCCTTTAACTGAATGAGTGAGTGAGTTTAGTTTTATGCCGCACTCAGCAATATTCCAGCAATATGGTGGCGGTCTGTAAATAATAGAGTCTGGACCAGACAATCCAGTGATCAACAGCATGACCATCAATCTAAGCAATTGGGAGCCGATGACATGTGTCAACCAAGTAAGCGAGCCTGACCATCCGATCCCGTTAGTCACCTCTTACGACAAGCATGGGTTACTAAAGATCAATATTCTAACCCGGACCTTCACGGATGCCCCTCATACTGACTCACTGTGTACACCACAATAGCAGCAGATTTTAATGTGAGCTAACAGGATAGCCTGGCAATGAGTGAGTGAGTGAGCATCAGCAATTTTGCACCTTTTCTTGGCATGTGGTGGCCGGGAAAGATTTATGTTTGTAATGCAAACCTCAACCATGACAATTTAAACCTCAAATAAACTTTGTCCATGAAAGGTCTGTAAATATCAACATTTTTAACAGAATAATGTTCTTCAACTTGAAATGCAGTCAAAACCTCAAACAATGACAAGTGAGGAAATACACTAACCCAAATTGGTGTTACAAATTATGGTAGTTTAGGAATTAAAGCATGGTGATGTTTGCTGCTATAGTGTTTCATTCCAGGGACCTCCATATTTTGTCACTAAGAACAGAAGCAGCATTCGAAATAATCGCTGACCTGGAGGCCCAGCGCCGATTGTTATTGTATCGGGCCAGCAGTTTCAAATATTTGTAGCCCTTGTGGCCTTGTGGCATTCGGTAAACTATCTGTCGTTTTTTTTCCAACTAGAATCTTTATCATAATTTTTTTCCTTTATTCACGTTTGGGAATCAGCCCTGTTCCATCATGTTACGATAACTTACAGTTTCACTTCCTGGCATGGAACGTCAACATCAGTCTTGAACTAATAAAAACTTCTCTCTACGCCATAGGCTCCGCTAATGTATTTTGTAGAAAACAGTGTGGATACTGTGCACAGTGTAGTCTATCTTGTTTTTATTGGTTTCACCTCAACCAAATGGGCCGGCAGATTTCATTCAGGGCCTATAGATTTTAAAGCCTGCAGGCGGCAGCAGGCCCTGATGGCCAACTGGCCAATTAAAGTATTGCAAACACTGTACAGAAGGTCTCTTTATGAAAAGGACACTGTGACTTTGTAGCTTAATTACGACCACTGACAAAGCCAATTGTTTGATTGGCATTCTAGAAATTGGTGAGTCAATAATCAAGCATACGACTTAATGGATAAAAACTTCTTGTTTATTGCAGAAGGCGACATTTCAATGTCGATTCTTACACTGTTATCATGCTAAAATGAGTTTAGCTTCATAATGATGTGAGGATCTACATGTTGTCTATAGAGTTGTATGGTTCATTATTGACAAAGCCAACTGGCCCTCAACTCACATGAGAACACTTCTTGTCGAGACTCTGCTTTTCTTTGTTGATGTCTGTGAGTTGTCTGGCCAGCACCTCCCGCTCAAAGTTCACCTTCTTCCATCTCTCCTTGGCTTCCAGGACCTAGGACACATCACAACCAGGGTGGGTGTTCAACTTCTTCATCTTCACACAATCCATGAGTATATTGATGTTTACATAAATAACAAACTATTTCCAAAAATAATTATCATCTCCATAGACCAGAGTGAGTGAGTGAGTTTAGTTTTACGCCGCACTCAGCAATATTCCAACTATATGACGGCAGTATGTAAATAATTGAGTCTGGACCAGACAATCCTGTGATCAACATCATGAGCATCAATCTACACAATTGGGATACGATGACATGTGTCAACCAAGCCAGCAAGCCTGACCACCTTATCCCATTAGTCGCCTCATGATAAGCATGGGTTACTGAAGACCAATATTCGAACCCGGACCTTCATGTGTGCCATGGACCTAAAGTCAGACAGTGATAGTCAGTGTTAGTGTGTACTGCAAGCATTAAACAGTCTCTAGAAGGTTATAGGAATCAATCTACAGCAAAATGTTTGATTTTGGACTAAAGATAAATGAGTATTAGGCCGTAGAAGGGACCCGAAGTGTCAGCCCAACCGTCTGGGTGGGCGATGAAGGAGAGAATGACAATATGGCCGCCGGTCACATGACTTTTGACGGGAAGTTTTGGGTGAGTAAACTTAGACTGTTCTTGGGAACATAGGGATAGAGGTTTCCACTCAACCTTCGGAGGAAAGGGAGATAAAGTAATAAGTATGAGTCTCTAGAAAATACATTGAATACAAGTATTGAATAATGCTGAACACTCACCCTCTCTTCTGCTTCTTTGATTGTCTCCTCCATCTTCTCCTCAAAGTACTGTCTCTGAGATTCCAGTTGGGTTGTCAGAAGGTATGTGTACTATAATCACAAATACAACATAGGTACTAGACAAACATTGTGTTTAGCAAGTATGGCATGTTAGATGATAGAAATTTGAAGGATCTCTCCTTTAGTGAAGTGAGTGAGTGAATTCAGTTTTACGCCACTTTTAGCAATATCCCAGCAATATCACAATGGGGGACACCAGAAATGGGCCTCACACATTGTATCCATGTAGGGAATCGAACCCGGGTCTTCGGCGTGATGAGTGAACGCTTTAACCAGTAGGCTATCCCACCGCCCAGCTTTGAGTGGAAGAGAGTTGTGTTCAGGTGAAATTACAAGAGTCAAATACGGACAGATGTTCCATTCATTATTCACCTTGAGCACGCTGAGTGCAACAGCATCAAGATCACCTAAATATTGTGTCAATCATTATGTGGTTTCTTTTGGTTTAACCCAGCCAACAGCAATATTACAGTGGTATGATCAGAATCAGATGATTTGCTTGATACAGGTGTTAGCATCTACACTGAAAGGTCGCATATATTGTTATAAAAAGGTTGTATATCTATAGAACTATCCCCTGTTCATCACAACAACTTCTAAATGCCACTCAAAAGACTAATCCAGTAACTGACATTCTGAGCATGAACTTGTATGTAGTCAGTATGGCATGTCAGATGAAAGAAAGCCGAGTTCTGGTCAGCTTTTAACTGTGCCTAACGTTGACACATGTTCCATTCAAAATTTACCTCCAGCGTAAGGGAGTCGAGTTTTTCATCCTGGACTACATTTCCACCTTCGTCCACTTCCACCAGTTTGCCATCAGACTTGTTCTGTACGAGACGGTGGACGTAGTTGTCACCAGCATAGTCCCACACACGGTTATTACCAAGCTGCATGGCGTAGGTATGGTTAGTGTCCTGGAAATGTCTGAGAGATAAATAGCTAGATGTCAAAACAGACGTTCTGTTGGATCATTTGAAAACACGGAAGACATTATTCACAATACTGGCAGGTGAAAAAGTGGGTACAAATTATGGTCTGGTTAATCTTGGAAAAATGTCCTCAAATACAGTAAGTTTTCACAAGTTAAATACGAACTGTTCATTTCCTGCAAATAATCATTCATATTGTACCAAATTTCAACCATATAAAACTGAGTCCCAAGCCACAAAACGTTTGTAGTGTTACAACATTCCTAAGCCTATGATTAACTATAGAGTTACAACAGGTCATAAAGTTACGAACACTCTGAGGATCAGGACCTAGGACCTCTTTACAACTGATGTGCAAAGACATGCCCTTCTAAATATATACGAATAATTCCTCATCAAATTCTTACTATTCCTTTCTTTAAATGTTTGTTGTTTCGCATTCAGCAATATTCCCCATGTGACAGCAGCCTATAAATAATAGAGTCTCGACCAGACAATCCAGTGACTGTATTGTAAGCATTGATCAGCACCTTCAGCACATGATGACACTCTACCAACCACTATGTCCCTAGCCGTTCTCTGCGCTCTGAATCAAAGCAACTCCTTAGTGTGCCTAAAGTGAGAACGACAACTTATGGTCAACGTGCATTTGCCTTTGCTGCCGCCTCATGTTGGAACTCTCTTCCTCAGATGATCCGTCTCTCAGGAACTCTATCAACCTTCAAAACAAGCCTTAATACCCATCTTTTCAGACTAGCTTTGCTTCCCTGAATCTTCTCTCAACTGTGCGCTTTGAGCATGCATTTAGCATGGAACTAGCGCTATACAAATGGACTGTTATGTTATGTTATGTTACCAACCAAGACACCGAGTATGATCACCTTATCCATCAATTACTTGTTACTACAAGCATGGTTTGCTTGGCAACTATTCCAACCGGGAATCCCCACAGGCTTTTCCAAGTATAAAAGAGACCGACTGGCTGTAAGGATTGTTACCTGTAGGCATGAAGTCCAACATATCGCCCACATCCAACATGGCCGCAGATGAGACAGATCCACAGGCTCTGTGGGGGAACAAGCAAGTGTCAACACTCAAATGCAAACGTTATACACACCAAAGAGTGAGTGAGTGAGTGAGTGAGTGAGTTTAGTTTTATGCCACTTTTACCAATATTCTATCAATATCATGACACCAGAAATGGGCTTCACACATTGTACCCATGTGGGGAATCGAACCCGGTTCTTCGGTGTCACAAGTAAACACTTTAACCACTAGGCTACCCCATCGCCCACACACCAAAGAAAATCAAGTTTGGAAAGATATTTAAAAAGTTGGATCCATCACTTGCCAGTGTGCCATCTTTTGTGTGAGGAAAATATTTTAAGCTGCTTTTCACATATTTAAACAATACATCATGACAACAGCCGGACACCCAGACTTGGTTGCATAATTTTACCTCAACAGGGGAAGTAACTCTGATGGGTGTTTTAATTTGAGACCTGATATAAACAACAATATGCCAGTTTCATGACAGTGGCCTGAAGAAAACAGACTAGCCTTTTAGAAATGCTATATCACAGGTACATTCACTGTACAAGAATGACAGATTGAATAAACCACAAATAGCCTAAATCACAATCAGATTAACTATCAGTTTGGATGTCAGCATATATGCCTTTGTTAATTTCACATTATTTCTTTCATATTGCCATCACAGGAAGCCATATTTGTTAGCCTTCAATGCAAAGTTCATAAATTTATATGTTAAAACATACCAATTCAAGTAGTTGTTTCCTAGACACAGACGCTGCAGCCGTGTTTTCTGGAATCCTTAAAATACCCGTACAGTAAGTTGCTAAACAACTGAATACATCCCTATTGTAAGACAAGTAACATGACACACATGACAAATTCAACAGCATTAACACAGGGAGCAGCTAAGTACATTCCTGCCAACTGCTGATGTTTAAGTCAGTGCCTCACCTCGTTTGATCCGCACTTCATGCAATGGTTGTCTGCCACCTCCTCTGGGGTCTGACTGTACCGACACACAGGGCAGCTGTAACACAATTAGGACAATTAACACACTAAGCAGTTGTAACACAACTAGGGTTTCCCCCAGGCATTTTTGGCAGGGCACAGCGCCCTGCCCTTTTATTTTGCACCCTGCCCTTTTATTTTGCACCCTGCCCTTTTATTTTGCAACCTGCCCTTTTATTTTGCAACCTGCACTTTTTATAAGGCACCCTGCCCTTTTATGTTGCACCCTGCCCTTTTATTTTGCAACCTGCCCTTTTATTTTGCACCCTGCCCTTCTTATAAGGCACCCTGCCCTTTTTCTAAGGCACCCTGTCTTTTTATTTTGCACCCTGCCCTTCTGACAAACTTCCTGTCCAGGAAGAACAGAAGAATATGAGACTGAGCTCTTACAGTGTTTTCTTCAAAAGATTTCTGTACAAAGAATACAATAATTGATATCAACACTTGGTTGTTTTTAGCTTTTATTTAATGTTGAAGAAAGTGAAATAACTGCACTCTTTGAGCCTTTAAGAATCATATATTTGGATAACTTGACACTTGGAAATCTCTCATTGTATGCCCCCTTTTGAAATTCTGTCGCCCTGCCGTTTTGGATCCTGGGGTAAACGCAACAACTGACACACTGGACAGCTGTAACACAATAACACAACTGACACACTGGACAGCTGTAACACAATAGACACACTGGACAGCTGTAACACAATAATACCTGACTGTAACAACATACATGGCAGCTGTAACAGAAACACAACTGACTGGAACAACATATTAGGCAGATGTAACACAACATAACTGACTGTACCAACCTGAACAGAACTATTGTATCTGACTAAAACTGATTAACTAAGATTGGGTTATCCTGCAAGTTGTTATCGTGGTATGACAGCCTACCTTGTGTCTCCCCACTTGGCCAGACAGGAGGTGTGGAAGGAGTGGTTACACAGCACAGTCAGCACCCCGTCCACAGACTCATCCTGGAACAAAGGATAAAGGATATAATACACACTAGACTCATGTGCTGGCATTTAGTGACTTCTCTAGTCTAAAGTCAAATCTATCCATGTAGCAATGATCTTCAAAACACCAAAACACTGCTTAGTATGAAAATGATTGTTTATGTTTATTTCATAATCAATGACTTTGACCTTTTTCGTCAACACTTGTTTACTATTACTTCAAAGTGATGCTGACAAATTTCGTATGACTCTGACAAATGTAGAAATATAATGGCGAGAAACCCAGCTTAGCAAAGCTGCACAGTGAACTGAAGTGCCTTTCACAAGTGGGCCACCTGTGCCCTCTTTATATATCACATGAGCTTGAAATTTGGAAACAATAAATGGCAGCCCGATATTGGTCGTATTCAAGAGATTGTTCAGCAAACAAAGTCTCCTACAAACAGCAGCTGCAAAATGACCTGTGTTGGTTATGGTGACTCACCATTCTCTCCAGACAGACTGGACAGGTGGGCAGTTCCAGCAGACCTGGTACAGGAAGTGTGGCACCCTGAAACATCATGGTACTCTCTGTACAGCTGACTATATATTAGAACACATGGACCTGTCTAAACATGAGTCACTTCTTTGGGTGGCATATAGAAGTTGGTGTGATAAACAAAGGGGATAGTTCTATGGATAGACAACTTCTTTATTACAATATATGCGACTTTTCAGTGTAGATGCTAATACCGTAATCAAGCAAGTACCTGGCACTGATTGTAACTGCAGACCCACTCTACTACTACTACAAGATACACTGAAGTTGGTACTGCTTAGCATGGTCAATCGCCACCATTTTGTCATTTGCCCATCTCAGTGAGTGAGTGAGTGAGTGAGTTTAGTTTTACGCCCGCACTCAGCAATATTCCAGCTATATGGCGGCGGTCTGTAAGTAATCGAGTCTGGACCAGACAATCCAGTGATCAACAGCATGAGCATCGATCTGCACAATTGGGAACCAATCACATGTGTCAACCAAGTCAGCGAGCCTGACCACCCGATCCCGTTAGTCCCCTCTTACAACAAGCATGGGTTACTGAAGGCTCATTCTAACCCGAACATTCACGGGTCCCCATCTCAGCCATTTTGTCAATTTCAAAAGTAAAACATCATTTCAGATATCAGATTATAATGATACAAAATACAACAGGATGGATTTTTTACCAGATACCAGAATAGAGGAACGTTTGTCATACTTATTATTTGAAAAGCATATTGCAGACTACCGACATACTAGGAACAGTGCAGTTCTAAAGGTTACCTCTGATTCCTTCATAATCTCCACCTTAGCTACATAAACAAGATGGCAGATGTCAGGCTCGATGGAGTTGAACGGCCGGTTGTTGAAGTGGGTGTAGAACTCATCAGCTGATTTCTGTCAACACAGTAGTGGTGGTCCAATTTATTGAAATAATCAAAGATTGGTCGCAACGACTAAACGACCAAGCAATCGATCATGTTTTCTCATAATCGAAGATAAACAATTTTGGAACTCTTGTTTGCATTAACTATATTTTTCACAAGGTGGGTCTTGTCTGTTACATTCAGAAGCACTACAAGCTCGTTCCATGTCATGATTGAATTTATCTGAAAGACTCCAGGAAAATGTTCCAAACATACTAGTCATCTCTTAAAGATGTGCAATTTGAAAAAAGAACCCAGTAAGAACTACATGTTTTTTTCTTTATTTTTTGGTGCATTAAGAAACATTACCAGGAAAATTTGATAAATGACGCTAACCAATCATTTTCGATGATTCATTGGTTGTAACGAACCAATCATCAATTTTGAGATTTTACCAATTCCCAACACTACACCACAAGGTGACAAATATGTATAAGACTATAATTTATCCGACAATCAGTAATATTGCAGTTGGTAAAATAATCCAGTTGGGATCAGCGGTGAACAACATACACAACAACTGATCCAATTGGGAGACCTCAACAAGTATACTAAATGCAACATTGCATCTGACTGCAATAGAGCACCTGTTGAATGTAACTGGGGAGGGAGTGACTGTTATACAGCACCTGCTGACTGTAACACACCTGATCAGTAAACTTGAGCAACACCATGTACTGGTTTGGAATGGAACAGCGAATGATCCTCATGTATTCTATTGTAGATGATGAGCTGAAAATAAACATGCTCATATAGCTTTGTAATGATGCATGACCAAGTTCTGCTAAACAAGAACCTTTGTCAGAAGGGTCATATCAGCTTAATGTTTCCACAGAAAATACATTAAAATCATATTAACTAGCTCATAATCATGTCCACAAGAATAAGGCACCACTTAGAAGTTGTTAAGTGAATTAACATTCTATTTTTAAAATAGCAGGATAATTCAGGAACATTTTGCACTATTCCATGATCTTCTATAGAATTTGTTCCCTGTGTATTTACAGCACTCACCTCATGGGAGCGGCAAACATGAGCAGGTCGTGTATGGTGTGTGAGGCCGGGACTCCCAGCAAGCATATCATCTCACTCCTAGCAACACCCTCATCCAGGGAGGTACGCTCACTGAAGCAATAAGACCAAGGTAGCTGAACAATCTCCAGAGAAAAACCTGCATTAGTATCTCATCAGTGACATTATACAATTATTGACTTCTAGCTTCGCCTCGGTGAATATCACATGTCCAAGGTCGATAAATCATTGGATCAACTGAACTCAAGTTAATAATTGTTTTATTATATGACAAAAGTACTGAATACCTGTTCTTCTGTGACACAGACGATTTATTTCCTCTTCTTAGACAGTCATGAATATTCATGGTGTCTGCCATTTTGATACAGATGGGACGTAACTCTAAATCAACACAGTCACAGGGATGCTTCCTTATCTAGCGTGACGCACATAGTGCGGAGTTCACAGCTGGAATATCCCAAATCTATTTTTAGCCACGGGAGGTGCTTGGATTGTGATACCAACCTCTCGTGACGTGGCGAGGTTGACGCTTAGCGCCAAAGCTGTCATGTGACCATGTGGCCCAATCAGAAGGGCGGAAAACTAACCGTCATATAATAAATACAGAGATATATACTTGCTCTGCTCATTCAAACCTACTTTTGAGAGCGAATCACTACTTGTGCCCCTGACCATAAGCCAGGATTACAGACAACAACCAAATCCATCATCAGAAACACCAATGATGAGTCTTGACTTCTAATTACCCAAACATATTCCAATGAACGTAAACGGCAAAACAGTGGTGAAGATTAAGTGAATGGATCTCTGAAAATCAGTGATGACACCAAATTTCAGACAGGACCTATATGCTCAAAATATTTGTGTAAAACAAAACATTAGAGAAAAGAAATCTTACACAAGCAGAGCTCCAGATAAGATTTAGCTCATGTGGGTACTGTACCCACTGTATTTTTGGGGAGTGGGCATTATGAATGTTGAGTGGGTATTTCATTTTCCGTTACCCACTGCTTTCAAATATGTGCGTATTTCAGTCCTTTTACTCACCTAAGTGTTATGTCATTGAGTAAGTTTACTAAGCAGGTATGTCCTGCTTTATGTCATACCTAATAAAAACCAACTTAAATATAATGGAAATGATTTCATAAAAAATCACTCATCCTATACTGACAGTACAACTTGAGAGCAATCGATGTCTTTTTCATTACGCAAGCAATTTTTATAAATATATTTCATAGGCATTTGTTTTAAACTTTTTGCGTATCTAACATTTTAAATGCGTAATTGGTACGCAACAATTATTTAGCAATGCGTAATTGGAAATTTTCTATGCGTATTTTACCCGGATACGCAGCTTATCTAGGCCTCTGCACAAGCAGAGGAAAACAAACACTCACTCATGCATGCACAGACACACACACACATGGAAGGGATGGGGTGGGTCAGGGTTTCATTGGCTCTGCCAACGCAAAAAAACAAAATTTATTCAGAAAACCCAAACTACCAAAAGGCACCAGTTCACCACCAGATCTATCTATGTCCCAAGTTTGGTGAAGAAACATTGAACAGTTTTAGAGTTATGCTCCGGAAAAGAGTACAACCACCAATTTCAGTCTAAGTCAAACTTGTTGCCATGGATACGCCCAAAAAAAATTATTCAGAAAACCAAAACTACCAAAAGGCACCAGTAGACCACCAGATCTATCTATGTGCCAAGTGTGGTGAAGAAATATTGAACAGTTTTAGAGTTATGCTCCGGAAAAGACAAATGTGCACAGATGGACAGACGGACGCATGCACGGACGGAGTCCATTTCAATAACCCCCGCAAAAAACGTGTTGCGGGGGATAAAAAAATCTTAAACCCCCAAAAGCCACAGCTACATGATATGGAGAGGCAGTATACTAAATTTGGTGAAGATTGTTCGAGTAGTTTTAGAGTTATGTTCCGGAAACAATGGGAACGCCGGCACTGACGGAAACTCAACCAAAAACAATATGTCTCCCGGCCCTTCGAAGGGAGACAATAATAACCAATCAAAGCCAGAACACAGAGAGCCTTACCTGTCCTTGTATATATGCAGGATCCCCTTAGTGACCTCCACACATGGGTTGCCGCTGAAGAAGTGAATGGCGGAGGGCATGTGGGAGGTCGGACTGTGACTCTTGGGTCTGGCGCTTCCGGCCCGCTCAAACACTGGCTTGGCATCACATGAGGGTACAGGTTTATATGGTGTCTCAGTGCTGTCGTTTAGGCATTTGGAAGGTCCGGGACTTGGTTCTATGTCGGGAGTCTTCTCTTTTTCTTTACCAGACTTTTGTTTGATGACCTCCATGTCTGCCGCAGCTAACAGTATATCTGAAATAGAGTGAGTGAATTTGTTTTTACGCCGCTTTTGGCAATATTCCAGCAATATCACGACAAGGGACCCCAGAAATGGGCTTCACACATAGTAATTATATGGGGAATCGAACCCAGGTCTTCGACATGACAAGTGAATGCTTTAAACACTAGGCTACCCCACTGCCACACATGGAACAGTTTCTTCACCATCAATAATAAGTCTGCGAATGACAGTAATCTATTCACTAAGCACTGATTGGTTTCATTCATTTTCTGAACATTTCAGTTTAGAAATTACAAACTAAAGTCCAAGGTTCTAAAAATGTTAAAAGTTCCAGTTTGGAGTGTCTCCAGATTCAAATACTAAGACATCAAACTAGGACTAAAGCACTCCTTTCTTTCTGACAGTGATACTGCCTTGGCAGTCCGACCCAGATTTTCAGACAATCACTATCAGGTATGTCTATGTACATGTATCCTCATATTATAGGCTTTCAGACACATAAAAGTTTATTAGTTTTCTCACTAAGTATACTACCCATCAAAAGTTTTGACTCGTGCAACGTAAAACACAACTTTGCAGATTCTGATACCCTTCGGTATGGACTTACCGAAACAAATCATCAAAAATGCAAATTCAACTTATAATGATGAAAAATAACGCGATGAAAAACCCACCGCAAAATCGGAGTTCAAATGATTCACTAATTTTCCCCCAGCACTTGGGGGAAAATTGGTTTCAACAGCTGGGCTGCGCTCATAGCACATGCCCAGTGAAATAGGTTCGCGCAACTTGGAAGCGGGTTGTCCGGATTATAAGGTCATGAGCAGGAGTAGTCTAATCAAAACAAATAGTAAACAATCTACTCATAACATAAAAGAACCTTGTTAGGATCCAGATCTACTCAACTATGTGTCAACCAGTGAGGCGTTCGACATTTCAAGACAGAAAACCTTCGCTGGTGGTGAATACTCGGTGAAGGCTTGGTGTGAGCTATTTTTCTAATGTTTTGTTGATATTTCACAGGCGCGAGCTTTTTACATGTTATGACAGTAGATTACTGATTTAACTGTAAAAGATCCACTGTGTAAACAGTACCTTTAAACAGTATGGAATATTTTGCAAAATCGAGTTTAGAACAGTTGACTGAAGTAAGTGGCTACGTTTACACTAGTGAGTCTAAACTTTTGATGGGTAGAAAACATAAACAGCTGTAAAACCTCCCACTCACCTGTTAATATATAATGTGTCTGTCACACCCTAAACCATAGCAAACATGGCATGACATCCAAAAACATATGCTGTTTGTCATCCAAAAATACTTAAAACTTTGAATTTGATTGACAAGGCTTTAGTGCATGTAGATTCACAGAATATAAGCTGACAATAAATAGTAAACGTCATAACATTAAATAAGCATGCTAAGGTTTGAACAAATGTTGCTAAATAACAAAAGGCACCAAGACATGGATACCATGTTTGAAAGTTCACCTTTGAATTCCAGACTCTCCAGTGTTATATCATCCAGGACCCTGAGACCACGATGTTCGGCCACCTGGGCCTGGATTGGTTCTGTTGAATTGAACTTGGTGGCTTCTTCCTGGGAGGATGTTACAGCAGCCGTGGACAGGACTGAGGCATAGCTCAGCTTGGTCTCTGCTGTGTCCTGTCTCTCTTTGTAGCCTGGAGCTGCAACAGTGAGTGAGTGGGTGAATGGGTGGGTGAGTGAGTGGGTGGGTGCGTGGGTGGGTGCGTGCGTGGGTGGGTGGGTGCGTGGTTTAACATGCTTAATGCAGCTATGATTTTTTGGTTTGTGACATCATCACGATGGGTTTCTGGTAAGGGAAGCAACTCTGTACTGCCAAAAGCTGAGTCCAAGACATATGTGCCCCAACTACACCACTAACACAGGGTAACAGGGCTAGACATTCACCCAAATTCCTGAACAAGACCACAGGACCAATAACTTTTAAAAATCACTGGTCCTTACAGATTCCTACTGGTCCTGCTAAGGGACCGCCAGGATAGCACTTATCAAAGTTGCACTTGTCCTGTCAATATTTTACTAGGTTGTAGGAAAAAAAGTCATAGAAAAAAAGTCATAGGAAAAAAGGCATGGAAAAAAGGCATAAACTCAAAAAGGTCAGTATTGATAACATATTTATATAACAAGTCATAACAATATTATCATCAACAGCACTACCACATTTGAACCTAACTTATAAAATAATGTAATCATTCAAGTAAAATACATGACATCAGAAAATGCACTATCATCATAACACATTCATCTGCAACAGCACTACATCAGTCAGTTGTCCTAGCATATTTTATTTAACCGAATGTTCCAGCCAATGCCGTGAAGAGTTTGAGTCTTACGGCCAGCATGTCTTATATTAGCTGTTAGAAGAAAGCCATTTGAGTAAAAGCATTAACTGATAATCCCATGATTTCATTAATCGGTGTGATATCGTCAAGCTCAAAGCAAGTTAAACAAACAATCATATGACTTGTGACCTTAAATCCCATAATGCTTTAAGAACTAAACCAATAATAATATGTCCATTTCTCCTGTTTTGATAAGAACCAATTGCCTACAGCATCACACTGAAAGGAATAATTAACTTGAAAGTGAAATAGTATAAACAAAGTAAATGGAAAACAGGATGTTTTTATAAAAGTTGTTGTTGAAATTAGTTTTTTACAAATAACTGGAGAACATGATGTTTTATAATAGTTATTTTTCCTATGACCTTTTTTCCTATGACGTTTTTTCCTAGACTTTTTTTCCTGTGACTTCCCTAGGTTAAGAACAAATAAAGAATGTGTAGTTAAATTCCATTTCCATTTAAAGGCCAATTGAATACTTCCATAATTAACCATGTTTTAATCAACAAATTTACAATACCAGGAACAGTTGCAATGCTACAATCACTTGTGAATGTGGGCCTCAAAATAGTCTGTGGGCATCATTTCTTTCTTTCGTTAATTGTTTAAGCTGCTCTCAGCAATATTCCAGCTATATGGCAGTGGCCTGTACATAATTGAATCAGGACCACACAATCCAGTGATCAACAGCATGATGCCTGCAATAAACACAATTTATTCTTCAGTGACAGACAACCCATGATTTGTGGTAGCTGGCTGGTTGTTCTCTGACTCTCAAGGACTGATCACTGAAACATATAATGATACATAGCTCACCACTGTAGTGTTGAAAGGCCTTGGGAAAATCAAAGTCGTCCGAGATCTCCAGACGGAACACAACCATGTAGATTAACATTGGAATGAAGGGAGAGCCGCTGGGCCACTTGTCCTTAACAGCATGCTACGGCTGAAAACAAGGAAGAGCACCCTCAAAATACTATACTATTACTGGCACAACTTATTTATCTTTTACAATCACAACAGTTATGTTATTTCAATTAATGAATCAGTAAACATCATGTAAATATGATGGTGGTGTGTAAATAATAGTGTGGACCACACAATCCAGTGATCAACAGCATTAGCATTGATGTACACAATTGGGATATGATGACATGTGGCAAACAAATTCAGTGAGCCTGACCACCCGATCCCGTTAGTTGCCTCTTATGACAAGCATGGGTTACTGAACACCAATTCTAACCTGGTTTGAGAGCTAGATTTCCTGAACACTATTATGACTGCAAGAATCAATTAATTCATTTGTCCATGACCCATAAACTAACCTACAAACTATGTTATCATCCAAAACTTGATTTCCTGTTATGCACACTGGCATTCAAATTTGCCACACCCATGTTAAGCTGTGAGATAGAGAGTGATACCAATAAACAGTTGGATGGAGTGCATAAATAGGTTCTGAATTATTTGCGTTGGTAAAATTTATCGCATTTTCCATCAATTGAATCATGGTGGGTATTTTTCCAATTTTTAGTTGTGCCACTAGAGCACAGTGAATATATTTCATCTGTACCTTGGCAAGCAAATTGAGCACTACTTCAATCCCTGGAAATAAAGTTGAATTTCTGAAAGCCTTTGTACTTTTGCATGATTTGAGGTGTATGATAAATGTGAGTGACATAGAATTTCAAATACAGTCAGCTCTCGTTAATCCGACACTCATTAATCCGACATTCTCGGTAATCTGACATATTTCTCTGCAACCACAAGTGTCGGATTAACGAGAGCTGACTGTATTATCTTGTCAAATTTCAACTATTTTCGGATCAGAAAATATCTGATTCTAAAATAACAGATATTATACTTTACGTATTTCATAGTCACATCTATTGTCTATTGCTGATATGTATGATAGGTATTACTATAGATCACATTACCAACAGATCACAACTTTAAGTGCCTTGATGACAATACAGTGATAGTAAGCCTGAAACACAATTGACAGTGTGGAAATCAGTATCAGCTATTGACAGTACTGTGTAAATATAATCCATTTTTTTTAAATTATATTATTGAGTATTATCAAAATAAATAGCCATGATTATCGGTAGATCTGGAGAAAAGGAGTGTACTCAGTAGACATGGTAGAGAACGTAACTTGTACTTGAGACGGGCTCGAGCTCTTGAGAAAATACACATGATAGCCTTAATCATTGCATATAATAATAATGCCTACCAGAAAAGGAATGGTAAATGATCATGTCAAGGGATGTTTTAGCATCTGGTGGTGACACCCATGCAGGTCAGTTGATCAACAGTTGTTCTCATCTATCCAGTACAAGCTAATATAAATTAGCAAAATAAACCTAAAGTCCAGAAGCTCAACCAGTGACAGAGACCTATACTCTGGACAATTTTATCTCAACTAAGCCCAGCTTGAACAATACTATGCTAATTCAGCACACAGAATTAATTCACAGTCAATATTATTTGGTTTAATAAACAGGCCCGAGCTAACAATATCACTCCCATTGCAATTAAAAATGAACATCCAAATTTGAATTGCAATGAATACTTTCACCAAAACACTTTGTGATCAATACAAAACGGAAAAATTATTGCCAAGAAAAATAACACTGTAGAACGATTTAGCTTAAAATGGGAAAATTGTACAAACCCATTTGATACCAAATATGCACTATGCTCTCACTTACTCTACCCCGTACATGTATACCTACTTAAATGGCATTTACTCTCACAGTTAAAAACAACTCCAAAAAGATTTGTCTGAACAGTAACATATTAATCTGTATTTTACATAACATCCAGTCATTATCTGTCAATTTAATATATAACTCACACAGTTACTGACGAGTCTGATCTGACTTGTGAATACTGACTGACCGATTAGACTTTTGACTGATTGAACTGGGTGTATTTGGACACATTTAGATTTAATCAGTTGCATCTGAGTAATTATTTTTGATCAATTACAGTAACTTAATGTATATACTACTAGGCCAAATGTAGAGATAGCATCAAAATCAGGTAATATGATAGTTTGACGATACAATTCATAGCGACTACGATCTTAACCATGTTGGAACACCAGTGCTTGCCACCGTCCACTACACCATGTGGTCAATACTCATACAGTTGGTCAGTTGTTGAACATGTGGACACTGTTACAACAATGGGGTAAACCATGTTTGTTTTCAGGAACCTAATACATTCTGTGGCTAATTCCATATCAACAAGATATTTTGGAGGGTGGGAGGTGTCATACTAATTACTGGATACCACTTTTACTGGTCCTGAGAGATTCTAAAAGATAAGGACTTCCTAGCATTTGGCCCAGGACAATATATATCCATCAATCACTAACATATATACTCTTTCTGCTATGCATATTTAATATTGATAGATAGATTCCTGATTTGATGTGAAAATGATTGATTGATTGACTGAATCATCAGTCAATGAATGATCCAGATTTTGCTGGATGTATATGGATTTCATTGGTAAAATGTATCAATTCACTGATCGCTGACACATTTATTGAGTGAGTATGGTTTTACGCCGCTTTTACTTTAGCAATATTCCAGCAATATCACGGCGGGGGAACAACAGAAATGGGCTTCACACATTGTACCCACGTGGGGAATCGAATCCGGGTCTTCGGCATGACGAGCCAACGCTTTAACCACTAGGCTACCCCACCACCTGACACATTTATTCTTTCTGCTAGCTATTTATTCATTATCTCCTTTACCCATTCTACTAGTTCACTTAACCTAAAGTACATCTATGTAATGATATATCCAGCTTTCTATTCCTGTACTCATGTATCCAATTGTTCAACCTTTCAACTTACATATTTTTGCATAGGTGTATATATACGTATGTGTGTATGTATGTGTATGTATGTGTGTCTGCCTGTCCACACACAAACATATTTATACATCCACCTTGCAGTTGAAAATATTCATTTACTGTAATTAATGTAAAATGTCTATACTGGCTGCCCAACAGTTATCACCATATTTTAGCGGTATTTACAAAATTAGTCTGCGATTCGTTAAATTAATGAAACAAAATTAATGATGGCAGTTCATGTTAATTAGCTATTCGCTGATATGTTCACTGCCGCCGATCGTGTTTTTATATAACGCGGCGGAAGGGGATCATGGCAGTACAAATAGATGTTTTCTCACAACTTACTGTAACAGTTATCACCTTTCAGAATTTCTCATGCCATTCTTGAAATAACATTTATCTATATCATACAGTAACCTCAAATACCCTTGTGTCATGTAAGTTCGATCACTTAAGAACTGTCGCTGAATTTTCAAAGTTATATTCATATAATCTTATTTTCAAATCTCTTACCTCTAAACTTGTTTATTTATGTCAAACATTTCCAAAATCCAGGTATTTTTACTGCTTTTCACAATCGCGGCATAGCCGCCCTCTCACTGTCAACACAAGTGACCCAGAAAGCTACGTCACATAAGTTCGATCATATGATTGGCTGGCTTGTCGCGTAAACAGGATGACGTGTAAGGACGATCTCTTGTGTCAAATTCAGAGTTAGAGCAGTCCCAAGTAATTTTATGGTATTTATGTCCATGAAACGTTCATTTTATGTTTCAATACTTCTAAAAACAATGAAAAGTCACAAATATTCAGCTCATATACAAGTATTATGCAAGGAATTATTCTTCAGGCTCATCGTGACGGGCATCAAACCTCAGAATGTAGACAAACACCACGAACTGGCTTGCAGAAACGTAAATGTGTTCTGTGCTGACATGTAGGGTGGGTACATTGTGCCAAGGTTGTATTTATCAATGAGACAATAGCTTGAACTTCATCAGGTACAAAATCACGGAAATTCTCAAAAAGCATTAAGTTTTCTATAAGAAATGGCTCTTATTGTTTCCAAAGTTTTAAATTTTGACAAGGATATCACGTGTCTGGACATGTCACAGTTAGACCAGCAACGTAAACAAACAGAAGACAGGGGTGCTGTCAATTTACAACGTGTGAAATTTATACTGTTCATATTTTATTTGAGCTGATAAAGTTACATTATTGATCCAGGGTTAAAAAGTAGTTGTTTGCTGAAAATGAGCTATAACTTACATTTGGTAACTTGACACGAAACATTTTCCGGTCCAAACGAACGAAAGTGGTGTCACCAGAAGATCAAAGCTGCGGATATTGTAAGTTATCGCTACGTATTGCGACAATTACCATTCAAAATGGGCGATTGAAGTTACATGACGATCGAACTTGTGTGACTTGACGATAATTGATTGTGTGACTATTGAGTGTTTCTTTTACAGTAGATTTATAGGGAATGAAACAATTAATGGCTTGTGAACTTTAACTTGCTATTATATGGATCTTGTGACATCCCAGCGACTAAGTTAAAAAGAATTTATAGGGTTCATAACTTTTTCTTATGTTTTCTCTTATTGCTACTTGATTGGCAATAACGCCATCGCTACAGTTCTTTTTGCCTCATTCATCACCCCAACTCAACGGCGATTATTTCTCACTAACTATGCCTCACATTGACTGTGATCATGTCAGTTGTACATGCGTAGGTGTATGTACTATGATTTAGCTGTTTTCTTCTGATGTAGGCGTAGAGAGTTGATCACACATACGCCACTCTCTCCGTGACAAGAAAATATTGTTTCACGTTTGCTGACAGAAATGATAGTCTCGTCACATTACCTTCCTTTCGCATATACTGTAAATATGAAGTTTCGTGTCCACCATGACGTTATAACACCAACTGATCCAAGAATGTACTCACCCACTCCTAAATAACCTCACTTGATGAAGATTTTCCAATCAAAACATAATTATTCTTCTACGTCTCAAGGAACCGGAAGCTATTCTAAGTGAATTGGGTGATAATAAAAGTAGGAACTACGCTCACGAAATAGGAATGGATACTAGGCTTGATGTATATAACCGCAAAGAAAGACAACATGGTTATAGATAACACGTTTTGTACTTTAATATAACAGTAGGAAAACACATATTCTGAGAAAACAATCCAAAAATTTAATGTGTGTGTGTGTGCGCGCGTGTGAGTGTATTTAAACTGCCAGTGACAAATATTGCGTTTGTACACAGACCATACATTTAGCGACATATGTTATATTTGGGACACACACACATATATATATATATATATATATATATATATTAACACACATGTATCCAGAACGTTACAAGGTACCACTTCACCACTTGTCCAAGTTGTATACAATGAGTGGGTGAGTGAGTGAGTATGGCTTTAGGCCACTTTTAGCAATAATCCAGAAATATCAGAGCTGGAGACAAAAGAAATGGGCTGCACACATTGTACCCATGTGGGGAATCGAACATGGGTCTTTGGCGTAACGAGCGAACGCTTTAACCACTCGGCTTCCCCACCGCATCATATTTGTATACAAAATGTGCCCCCACCCCCACCCCCCACCCATGAGCAAGCAAAGGTTTCCCTCACAACTATACTTGTTACTCGTTTCACACAGCATACAAATATGTTCCAGCCCGTGCCATGTAAACAATGGCCCAATGTCTGCTGCCTGTTTGTTGTTTCATGTAGCATACAACTATATTCCAGCCAAGTGACTGTCTGTGGCATGATAACACTGGCCCAGGTAAATCAGTGAATATACCATAAGCAACGATCCATGCCTTGAGGTAAGATGACACCCCACCAAGGTCATCAAGCCTTACCACCAGACCAATCTAAGAACCAGTAATGGCCATGATAAATTCTGACCCACAGACTTCATACCCATGTATACAAAGTTTCACAAAGAAATATTCAACTGGGCATGAATTATGCTTTTTGAATTACCCCTGCTCTGATACCTCTGTCCTTCAAAATATATTACTTAATTTCAGCACTTGTCTAATCGACAAAGTTTCACAGTGAAATAATATTGAATGGTTTGTGTATTGTGTTCATGGGGAACGGCATCCGTGACTACGACCATGGTCTAGAAATTTGTATAGTGTCTGAAATTACAAGATTAATTGTTTTTGTTACGTTTCTAAAGGGAATGAACACAAAATAATCTCTTCCTTTTTCCTTGTTCAGATTTGCCAAAATATTGTAGACTTGGTGGAAAGTATTTGGATATTTTTCTTTCAACGTTTGCACAAGGAAGTGACTACCGTTAAGCTTGCTTTGGGAAAAGGCATGTATTAAATGAAACATTCAGCAAGTATTTGATCAACGTTTTCTATACACACGGAAAATAGAATCTCCATATGTTACCGTTAACCACAGCAAAGGAACTTTTCCAAACTATCTGGATAAATAGACCCACACGGAACAATTACATGGCAAATTTAAATCCGAAACGAACGAAAAGCTAGGTAGTCTAGCTCTTTGCCCGGGTTATTTTAGGCGACTTTGGACCATTCTTTTGAACAAACGACGATGTGGAAGCCTCTGTTTAATAGTGTGTTCTGGTACAGACGATTCAGTGTGCTCTGGTTCAAACGATTCAGTGCGTTCTGGTCCAGACGATTCAGTGTGTTCTGGTCCAGACAATTGAGTGTGTTCTGGTCCAGACAATTGAGTGTGTTCTGGTCCAGACAATTCAGTGTGTTCTGGTACAGACAATTCAGTGTGTTCTGGTACAGACAATTCAGTGTGTTCTGGTACAGACAATTCAGTGTGTTCTGGTACAGACAATTCAGTGTGTTCTGGTACAGATGATTCAGTGTGTTCTGGTACAGACAATTCAGTGTGTTCTGGTACAGACTATTCAGTGTGTTCTGGTCCAGGCGATTCAGTGTGTTCTGGTCGAGACAATTCAGTGTGTTCTGGTACAGACGATTCAGTGTGTTCTGGTACAGACAATTCAGTGTGTTCTGGTACAGACAATTCAGTGTGTTCTGGTACAGACAATTCAGTGTGTTCTGGTACAGACAATTCAGTGTGTTCTGGTACAGACAATTCAGTGTGTTCTGGTACAGTGTGTTCTGGTACAGACGATTCAGTGTGTTCTGGTACAGATGATTCAGTGTGTTCTGGTACAGACAATTCAGTGTGTTCTGGTACAGACAATTCAGTGTGTTCTGGTACAGACGATTCAGTGTGTTCTGGTACAGACATTCAGTGTGTTCTGTGTGTTCTGGTACAGAGACAATTCTGTGTTCTGGTACAGACGATTCAGTGTGTTCTGGTACAGACAATTCAGTGTGTTCTGGTACAGACAATTCAGTGTGTTCTGGTACAGACGATTCAGTGTGTTCTGGTCCAGACGATTCAGTGTGTTCTGATGTTCTGGTCTGACAATTCAGTGTGTTCTGGTACAGACAATTCAGTGTGTTCTGGTACAGACGATTCAGTGTGTTCTGGTACAGACGATTCAGTGTGTTCTGATACAGACGATTCAGTGTGTTCTGGTACAGACAATTCAGTGTGTTCTGGTACAGACAATTCAGTGTGTTCTGGTCGAGGCAATTCAGTGTGTTCTGGTCCAGACAATTCAGTGTGTTCTGGTACAGACGATTCAGTGTGTTCTGGTACAGACGATTCAGTATGTTCTGTGTTCTGGTACAGACAATTCAGTGTGTTCTGGTACAGACGATTCAGTGTGTTCTGGTCCAGACAATTCAGTGTGTTCTGGTCCAGACAATTCAGTGTGTTCTGGTCGAGACAATTCAGTGTGTTCTGGTACAGACAATTCAGTGTGTTCTGGTACAGACAATTCAGTGTGTTCTGGTACAGACAATTCAGTGTGTTCTGGTCCAGACAATTCAGTGTGTTCTGGTACAGACAATTCAGTGTGTTCTGTGTTCTGGTACAGACAATTCAGTGTGTTCTGGTACAGACGATTCAGTGTGTTCTGGTACAGACGATTCAGTGTGTTCTGGTACAGACGATTCAGTGTGTTCTGTGTTCTGGTACAGACAATTCAGTGTGTTCTGGTCCAGACGATTCAGTGTGTTCTGGTACAGACGATTCAGTGTGTTCTGGTCGAGGCAATTCAGTGTGTTCTGGTACAGACAATTCAGTGTGTTCTGGTACAGACAATTCAGTGTGTTCTGGTCCAGACGATTCAGTGTGTTCTGGTACAGACAATTCAGTGTGTTCTGGTCCAGACAATTCAGTGTGTTCTGGTACAGACAATTCAGTGTGTTCTGGTCGAGGCAATTCAGTGTGTTCTGGTCCAGACAATTCAGTGTGTTCTGGTACAGACGATTAGGTGTGTTCTGGTACTGACAATTCAGTGTGTTCTGGTCGAGGCAATTCAGTGTGTTTTGGTCCAGACGATTCAGTGTGTTCGTCCAGACAATTGAGTGAGTTCTGGTCCAGACGATTCAGTGTGTTCTGGTATAGAAGATTCAGTTTGTTCTGGTACAGATGATTCAGTGTGTTCTGGTACAGGCGATTCAGTGTGTTCTGGTCCAGACAATTCAGTGTGTTCTGGTACAGACAATTCAGTGTGTTCTGGTACAGACGATTCAGTGTGTTCTGGTATAGATGATTCAGTTTGTTCTGGTATAGACGATTCAGTGTGTTCTGGTCGAGAGAATTCAGTGTGTTCTGGTCTAGACGATTCAGTATGTTCTGGTCCAGAGAATTCAGCGTGTTCTGGCCCAGACAATTCAGTGTGATCTGGTCCAGACAATTCAGTGTGCGAGCCAATGTGTTCTTGTAGAGACGGGTTCTATTCCCTTCATGGGGTGTACAATGTGTGATGCCCATTTCTGATATCCCCCCCACCACCCCCACTATATCCGGTTGTTGATCATGAGGCCAAGCAGAGGTTTCCCTCACAACTACTTGTTACTCGTTTCACACAGCATACAACTATGTTCCAGCCACCTGACCATGCCATGTGTACCCATGTGGGGAATCGAACATGGGTCTTCAGCGTAACGAGTGAACGGTTTAACCACTCGGCTTCCCCACTGTATCATATTTGTATACAAAATGTGTTCTTGTACAGACTTGTTCTATTCCCTTCATGGGTACAATGTGTGATGCCCATTTCCGTTTGTTCCACTACTGGTTACCAGCAGTCTCTGGTATATTTTGATAAAGCTTTTCCACAAGCACAAAACAAACAGTACACCAGGAAACATTCTTGTGTTTTTTTTTAATTATTCTATTATATACAACTGGTAACAAAGGAAGGACAACATGTGAATAAACAATTGTAAGAACAGAAAATTAGTACATCTTAAATGATGAACAATCTTACATCATGTTGTAAATTTGGAGTATGTGTAAAACATTTGTTGGATCTCTACAATTAATTTAAATGATATTCAAGGTCGCAACTGATGCAAAACACTGGAGAAACATTACTGTTAACATACCCTAACAACTGTACACCAACATCAGCAAAATGTCTGTAATTGTACTGAGGAACATTTCTGATGAAGCAAACATGCTTAACAAATAAGGATTTATAATAAGTATCCATTTATGGATTCTCTTACCACTGACTGACTGAGTTTGGTTTTACGCCGCTTTTAGCAATATTCCAGCAACATCACGGCGGTGGACACCAGAAATGGGCTTCACACATTGTGCCCATGTGGGAATTCGAACCTGGGTCTTCGGCGAGACGAGCCAACGCTTTAACCATTAGGCTACCCCACCGCCCTCTCCTACCAGAAATACTGAGAATAAATAAACATTCATAAAAAATCTGGCAAACAGGTAAGAATCCTTTTTGCCATTAAAACTTGCAACTTTGCAGGTTAAATTGCTTCTGCAATGATTTTAGAGACAAAGCAGTGACTAGCCAGATTCGGAAAACCTTGACATGCCATGTCAATGTCTGAAAGGTTTCAAAAACAGTTTCCTACCAATTTCCATGATTTATTCCCAATAACCCTCAACCCTGTGTATCCCTGGTTTACTGTATCACTGCATCACTGTGGCCAGTCAGCACATGTGAAGCGGATACTGATGTACTACAACTTACTACAATAATACTTAACCAACCTCACATGAAGAAGACAAAAATGTTCTCAGGGATTTACAGGACGCAAATTCCTGCATCCTATATGCATAAAAATTGACAATGGATGCAACAAGAGTTATTAGCGCATCCACAGGGACGCAGAAAAGTCCAAATACTTTTGCAAAAATTCCAATCAAGTAACAATAAGTTATTACTGAGTTTGCTACTAGCTGGGTTATGGTATCATTTGCAATTTAATAACTGTAACTTAAATTGTTGAACATGATACACAATACAATAACAGCATTTATAATAATATTTAAGTGTCTGGGACCCCCATTTTGTTGTCCAGGACCCCCTGATAATTATAAGCATGAGTCCCAGGGACCCTCATATACAGGACTCAAGGTAAATCCCAGTGTTCTGCAGTATCATCCCCCTAAATCTTGTTGGTAAATATGTTTTGCAGTATCAGCATTTAATTCTTGTTTGTTGTTTTACACCAGTCAGCAATATTTCCAGCTTGTCTGTGAATAATGGAACCTTGATCAAACAAACTAGTGGTCAACAATATGAGCAGCATCCCATGGTACCATGAAACCTGGTCATCCAAGTCACTGAGGTGGATAATGAAAACTAAATGAGTCACTTCTTATAACAAAGTCGCCGGGACCTATTCTTGGCTTGGGACATGCCTTTAACAGAGGTCCCCTATTCAGGGTGGAATAGTTCACACATTTTAAGTGTAAGTATAATACATTTATGGGCAATCAAAACTGTGATAATCAGAGGCATGGTCATCACAGACAGAAATGACAAAATCTTGTCACTAAATGAAAAGTGAAGTAAACTTCTGTCACCCTTCACAGCATGTAACATTGTAATTACCCACACAATTCATGTGTTTTGTAACAATAACATCATCTGTAGTCAAGACACCTTGCCATGGTTCATACACTGTAAAAATGGGACATCAGCAACAGGTTAGGCGGGAACACAAAATCAGTTCATCATGACAGTTTGTTTGGGCCCGAAACATATGCGTTTCCATTTTCAGCCAATCCAGATTAGGATTCTGTCCTCTACTCGAAAGGTATGGTGTCTTTTTTTTTCAAACAGAGATAATAATTGGTTTATTTCAAACAGAGATAATAATTGGTTTATTTCTAAACTATAGTCACAGGAGGTATATGAAAGCCAGATAATCTTATAGAGGCCTCTCCTGTTTACAGACAGTACCTGTGCTGGAGACAGCAGGTCAATTTTGCACAGTGTTATGATTGTGTCCTGTTACTGCTTACTAGAGTTCAGTGGTCGAGCTCATGATTACCATTGGTTATTGATCGATTACTGAGCTCCGATTATTGATCTGCATGTTGTGAGCATTAACCAGCACTAGTTGGGGGCTTCCCTTTAAGGGCTCTAAATTACGGTCTGTCATAAAACTGGAAACACACATACTTTTTATTGGCTACATGAACTTAACTGCATATTGCTGTAAAATACTTGTGTGAATTTCTGTCTATCAGATAACAAACACCGGGCTCAGTGCCAAAGAGTATGTATAAGTATTTACAAAGGAACAACAAGTTATTTTCAGCTGACATGTATGCTCTTTTGACACCGAGATAACCAGGAACAAATATAACTATAAGGTCACCCTTGGTTACCAGATCAATCCATGTAGTGAGGGGAGGTAACCCATATCATTCCTTATACCGTTTCCCCAACCACTCATCTTCCTCGCAGTGTCACACACTATAAACAGTCTGTCTAGAAGTAAAACACACTCTTTCAATCACTCAATGACAATAACTTACAAGCATTCACAAACTCACTAAAGACTGACTTCCAGGCTGGCTTCATCACCCAGTGGGAACATTCACAGACAGTATTTCTACCAGTCCTGAAACACCACACCACTGTCCTTTGTTTCCATGTTTCTGCTTAATGCAGCAAACTACAGATATAACAAACTGAAAGGGACTGCTGATTTCAGCTTGTCGTGTCCATTGTACCTTATATGCATTTTGACTAAAATATATAGAATGGGACCACAGCAACAAGCCCAGTACATTATAAACGCAGTTTGCTGTAATTTCAATGTGGCATGGAGGGGATATGATGAGTTAATGTTATCTTGCTAATATCTTTGAGTGGCATTATCTGTAGGATATCAATATGCCCACTCTAGCTGCTTGTCACTTTCTTGATAAAGAGACTAGCACCTGTCGAAATCAGCAAGTCTTCTTACCTTTAACTTGACGTCTCATCTACTGAACCGATTTGAAAATGGTTCCTGTCAGTATAGAGATTGAATAATAGGCAGACAGTTACGTCACAGCGACCAGCTACAAGTCTTGAAGATTTGTGTAAGACACGTACTAAACAGTACAAGTGCAGACTGTGTTGATTATACACAAAGATCCTGTTGTCTCAAAACTGCAGTGAAGTTTTCCTGTCCTATACTTTCTGCAACTTTCTTATCCTAACTAAAAGGACACTCAGCTCAGATAGGCATTACTTACTCTGTTCGTCAACATACATTTCAGTCTCAATGGCCACCCGGACAATTCCACTGACCACCCTAGCAGCATCCCGATCCACCCTGGCAACAGCCTGAGCCACCCCAGAAGAATCAACAGCCACCCTGACAACCACATTGACCACCCTGGCAGGATCAAGGGCCTCTCTGACACCACTCGGGACACCACAGGCAGAACCAGGACCTGGCAGCCCAGATGATCCACCCTGGAGAGACATGTCCTCATCACAGATCAGCTTGTATTCACATTCATAACATAAGGCTAATCCTCCTCCTCAGAATCGTCCTCGTTCATCTGGCATGGGGAAGCGCAAGACAGCACACACACCGGACAGCTGGCCAAGCTCTGATGGAAAAAAATGTTTATAAAACTATTAACAAGTGAGTGAGTTAGTTTTATGCCACACAGAGCTATATGGTGGCGGCCTGTAAATAATCAAATCCGGACCCGACAATCCAGTGATCAACAGCATGAGCATCGATCAACGCAACTGGGATACGATTACATGTGTCAAGCAAGCCGACAGGTCTGACCACCTGATCCCGTTAGTCGCTCTTACAAGCATGGGTTACTGAAGATCAGTTAAGAAGTAGGGAATGCATGCTCTACATTGTAGTTACATTTTCTCTTCTGATTTCAGAATAAGGGTGTTGTTTTCAAATGGAAAAAAAGTCTGGCCAGTCTGAGGCAAGATGCTATCACTGCTTTGGGGTGTGTTTATAAACATTGTTATTAGCAATATCAACACAGTTCAATATTTCCTACCTGAACTAATAATCAGAGCAAGAACAGAGAATCTGAATGCTGTCTCATGCAAAAGTCAGCGATATTCCAACAATAGGGTGTAAGTAGACAAGTCAGGACAAGGCAAACCAATGGCTTTTATTATATGACGGGTAGATTTCCACCCTTCTGATTGGCTCACTTGGTCACATGACAGCTTTGACGCTAAGCGATGTAACGTTGATGTCACGTCGCCTCGGTGAATATCACTTGTCCAAAGTCGATAAATCATTTGATCAACCTCACTAGAAGTCGATAATTGTATAACATCAAAAGCAATGATCCATGCTCATGGTGCACAACCTGTTCTTCACCTAGTCCCCTCACTTAGGGTCACTCACAATGGGAACAGGAGATGTTTCTGTCCTGGAAGCCCCACAGAATAACGTACAGCACATGCATATACTTACGCTCTCCGGACACATGTAAACTGGAGAATATCCTAACATCTCCTCCGTTGTCGCGCACTTTGTCCACCAGATTCACGTACCGTCTCCGCTGTTGTATATCATTGGACCTGTTGACAAGACCTATTTGTGAGACTTTGGTTATATGAAGCTCGGGATCAGGGACCCAATATGTTGGATGAAGGATGAGTTCTAGAGTGCTATTTCTTAAGACATATTGTTGCAGAGATTACAATGCTCCACCCCAGACAGTTGTCTTTTTACTCAAGACCTGATAAAAATGAAACAACTGTTTCACTCCTTTCATTGAGGTTTGTTGAGGTTGTTTCTTAGATCATGGTCTCATTTACAGTATTAACTTGCCTGCTACCAACAATGTATCTTAGTGAGTGAGATAGTGAGTTTAGTTTCACTCCGTTTTTAGCAATATTCCCGCAATATCACAGTGAAGGACACCAGTAATGGGCTCAACACATTGTACCCTTGTGGGGAATCGAACCCAGGTCTTCAGCATGACGAGCGAATGCTTTAACTACTAGGCTACCCCACCGCCTCTGCCATGTATCTGACTTGGGGGGTTTCCATTACTGGTGTGTTTGTAAAATCAATGTCCCAGTATACAACACTGTACAAAGTAGTCTTAGAAATGCATTGTTTGTTTTATAAGACATGACCTGAAGACAATGAAAACCACATTCATCGCTTTTCTGTATTTGTAGCCAGTCCTGATTCAAAGAGATTATTATGATAAATAAGATTGTAACAACCTCTTTCTCATCTATATTTACAGCATTTTTACCACTGACAGTTGAATCCTTGGAGAGAGATTCAACGATATTGGTCACATTACACAAGAACAAATGTGTGAAAGTTTGTGCATCTTGGTACACTGTATCCACTGAACGTGTAGTGATAACGCATGAATCGTGTAGCACATATCTATCTCAGCCTATGTCAAGTCTCAATTGCATGCACAGCATGATACCTGTCGCTGCACGTTTCTTACCAAAAGGGGATGGTCGGTAGCCTAGTGGTTAAAGCGCTCGCTCGTCACACCGATGACCCGGATTCGATTCCCCACATGGGTACAATGTGTGAAGCCCATTTCTGGCTTCCCCTGCCATGATATTGCTGGAATATTGGTAAAAGTGGCGTAAAACTAAACTCACTGACTCATTCTTACCTAAACAGTTCGTCAGACACCAACAACATCTCGATGGCCTGTAAGTCCGCAGCCTTCTCCACATGCTTCACACTGGAATGCAAACACTTCAGTTTACAGCTGTTAACAACCATTTCTACTCACAACAAAATTGGGGGCGGTGGGGTAGCCTAGTGGTTAAAGCGTTCGCTCATCCCGATGACGCCGATGACCCGGGTTTGGTTGCCCATTTCCGGTGTCCCCTGCCGTGATATTGCTGGAATATTGCTAAAAGCCGCATAAAACCATACTCACTCACAACAAAAATGTTACTACTGTTTTTCTCCATCTGCATGATTGAAACAATAAAACAAATGAGGAATTGTCATCTGGTGACAACTACATTGGCCAATGCAAACTGAATTCTCTCAACCATACAACATTTGTGAAAAGCAAATGTGACACAGAAGGAGGGGCATAAAGACCAATATAGCAAGCAACATCTATAAACAGACAAAAGAGGACTGTTATTTTTGGTCTTCAGTAACCCATGTTTGTCGTAAGAGGCGACTAACAGGATCGGGTGGTCAGGCTCGCTGACTTGGTTGGCACATGTCATCATATTCCAATTGTGTAGATCAATGCTCATGCTGTTGATCACTTGATTGTGTGGCCCAGACTCGATTATTTACAGACTGCCACCATATAGCTTGAATATTGCTGAGTATGGCGTTAAACAACCAACCAACCAACCAACCAACTGGTATTTTGAAGCAAGTGGCACATCAGCAACATATTGGTAATGCCCTCATCTGTTTACATTTGTTACAGACTATGGCAGGGTAAAGGCCTCACTGCTCAAGAAGCCATGGTTGAATAAATCTGATTCAATGCACACTGAGTGAGGTGTGTTTATCACTGTTTTGAGTGAGTTAGTGAGTGAGTTTAGTTGTACGCGGCACTCGGCTCTAACCTTCCAGTCTTTGGGGTTTTAACAGATGACCAATATGGATCTGGTGGTCAGGCTCAGTCACTTGGTTGATAACTCGCATCGTACACCAACAATCTTAGCTCTAAGATTGTAATTCCATTACGTAGACTGAAGATGGTCATAGCGCTAAGATCACCTTGTGCAACTGGGCAGAGGTGGTCAGGCTCAGTAACTTGGTTGATAACTCGCCAACATACAGACTCGACATCTGGTCAAGACTTGATTATGTACATGCGGCCATCATATACGAGGATCGATAAAAAAGTATGTAGCCTAACTATATTCTTGATGTCCAATGTTTGAAAAGCTTCCATTTTTATTTTGAAGGAATCGTTAGCAAAGCCACATCCAAAATTTTACATGTGTGGGTAATGTGGTTAACCAGATATTTGTCATCACAAGACATTGGGGTATAATATTTCTAACAAAAGTGTAGAAAATGAAAAACGATTTGTCTTTTGGTATCTCCTGGATAATGGTATGCCCTCAGATCATGTCGTATAAAATATGTTCAGTATAGTATTGGATGACTTCCCGTCATGATCAACAGTTAAAGATTTGGATTGCCTGATTTATATTTAGTCGGGGGCTATTTTCTAAGGACACCCCCATTTTAATCTTTCAAAAATATTGTGTCTAGATATTCAAGCTGGCACTGTTTACAATATATTTTGAGCTGACACTTGTGTGACCATTCAGTATTTAGTTTTAACCCTTGGCATCATGTATGCATAAGTGAAAACATTAAAATAAGCTATGCCCTTATGATAAGGTAATCTGAAAGGAGGATGGGTAGTGTCTCCAAAACAAGCTCTGTCAGTCAGCATGAAGGGGGGAGTCACTTTAACAAGCGATTGTAATTTCAAATTGCTTTTTTATGAACTTTAATATCTAAGTGTGATTCTAGGGGACTTCTATCAATCTCAAACACACAAAACATTTCTTGCATATTTTGTTTCCTGAAGTTTTAGATGCATTTATTGTAGATTTTTGCGTTTTTTGAGGGTACCAAGATAAAAGGTCAAACAAAATGGAGATCGTGTGGCTGGAACACAGCAAAACCAAATTGCTTGAGCTTGACAGATAATATGTAGAAAAATAAAACATAAAAATAACTGCATTTGTATCGTTTTCTTGGTGATTCTACATACTTTTTGATCGCCCCTCGTAGCTGAAATATTCCTCAGTCAACAAACCAACAAACTAAGCAAGGAGCAAGCAGCTGGTGATGATACTCTCCATCCTACGCCCCCTGAGACCTACCCATAGTACGCCCTGTTGGGATCAGATTGCAGCATCTGATAGAAGTCCTCCAGTGCCCTTACTTCACCTGCGGCCTTAGTGTCTGCCAGCTTGGACGTCACTGTTGAGTCCGACAACACCTCTGCAAGAAACATTACTTGTTAAAATACAGATAAACTCTAGATAAGCATACCTCACTGGACATTCAATTGGAAGAGTCTGTACACAAAACAAAAGGTGCTTAGTTACGTACATATAATTTGATGAAACTAAAATCCGAAAATAATCATACAGAATAACAGTTCATATCTTAACTGAAATATCATAAATCAACAATAATATTAACTTAATTTTAGTTTTTTTTAGTTTTTCAATAATCATAATGCAAGTCAGTTAGCAAGGAAGTTAGCAGTAGTCCATTGCTGCCTATTTTGAGCAGCCAATAAGTTGTCTGAACCAGTAAATACCGGGTAAATCGGTTATATTGCGCAGCCCTAGTAAATCCTATGCTATTCATAATTTATCATGTGATGTGTCATGAGATTGAACAACATACACCTGTTCTGAAACTGAGTTTAACTTATCATAAAAGCCATTCAGAGAACTCCTTTTCCTTCTAATAGTAAGCTTTGTCATTAAAGTTGTTATGAACAATGAAGAATGCATAGGAAAATTTGTTGAATTAAGAGCAAATTTTGATATTTATTTAGCAAGCAAGTAAACAAGTACAGATTACTGCTTACCCTTCAGCGAGTGTTTGAATCCTGAAGATGAGTGTACAAGGACAAACTTGGACTTATTGTCAATCAGCAACTTGTAGTCATTCTTTACAGCTGTAGCTGTCATGTACTCGTAGAACTGATCCTGAAGTAAACAAGTGGAAACATGAGTGAGTGAGTGAGTTTGGTTTTATGCCGCTTTAAGCAACATTCCAGCAATATCACGGCAGGGGACACCAGAAATGGGCTTCACACATTGTACCCATGTGGGGAATCGAACCCAGGTCTTTGGCATGACGAAGTGGAAACTTGAGTCTAGTGTGTCAATGTTCTTGCAATTTCACAGTCAGCAATATCTGACCTGTATCTCTACAGGCAAGAACAACAGCAATATTCCACCCATATCTCTACAGCGTATACAACCAGCAACTGAAAACAACGGCCACAATTCCCCTTTTTTACAACAACAGTCACTGTATATGACTAAAGTGCATATAACTGGCAAGAAACAACAGCAACATTCTACCTATATCACTACCCGGTACAGCGTATATAACCAGTGACAGAACACAACAGCAATAATCCACCTATGACACAGAAATCAACAGCAACAAAAAGACATAGTCATCAACATCCCCCGCCACAATGTTCTGTTCCTGTTTAGTTCCTGTTTTTTAAATCCACCATGACATTTATGTCCTGAAAATACATACCACATTTGGTTTCCCTATCTATAATGGTTACTATATATAATGAGGATAATGTGCAATAAGTCAAGAAACACATAATAAGGGCCATAACTCTGTAAGGAATCTTAACACGGTTTCTGTTTTTGAACTCCCTCAAGGCATTTGTGTCCTGAAAACACATACCAAATTTGGTTTCCCTATCTATAACGTTTTTTGAGAAAATCTATCCCCATCATATTGAACGTACGGCGCTCAAGCCTATATGCCCCTCCCACTTTGTGGTGGGGGATAATAATCCATCTGTATATCAACTGTGTATATAACCAGTTCCATCACCCTTATCAACCCAATCCCAATTTCAACTCAGAATAATAATCCATCTGTATTTCGACAGTGTATATAACCAGTTCCATCACCCTTATCACCCAATCCCAATTTCAACTCAGAATAATAATCCATCTGTATTTCAACAGTGTATATAACCATTTCCATCACCCTTATCAACCCAATCCCAATTTCAACTCAGAATAAATAATTATTCGATTCTTTGAAAATACTTCAGAAGTATCCTCTGCAAACAGCACAAATCAGTCTGTCCAAAGCCACTGCAATCCAGTTATCAACAGTGAGTGAGTGAGTGAATGTGTTTTTTCCCCGATTTTAGCAATATTCCAGCAATATCACGGCAGGGGACACCAGAAATGGGCTTCACATATTGTACCCATGTAGGGAATCGAACCCAGGGTCTTCGGCATGAACGGCCAACGCTTTAACCACTAGGCTAACCCACCGCCCCAGTGATCAACAGCATGAGCATCAATCTATGCAATTTCAATAAGATGACATGTGTCAACCAAGTCAGCAAGCCTGACCACCCGACCCCATTAGTCAACTCTTACAACAAACATGGGCTACTGAGGACCAATTCTACCACAGATCTTCACGGGTTGTGATGTACTGGATTGGCTTGAATTGAGGCGACAATGTTGTTTTTCATTTTTTCTGGATCTTCGTGGGTGTAACATGAGTTGATTATCAATGTTAATATGTAACAAGGGATAGGAGCCATCAGATAAATCAGTAATGGTCTGGACTTGACTATCAATTTATGGACATGTACTTTATAAGGTTTGATGATGTATCTTGTTGACACCAACCTTAACAAAACCGGGACTGGCAATGAGCACACATTTCACAACTGAAAGAAAAGAACACAATCAGTTACTAGAATGTTATTCCAATAACACTGTTTATTTCGTATTAATTATTTCTTGAGTTTGGTTTAAGTTACAAAAGTTGACGCCAGAACTCTTTACTATTTGTCAATCAAACAAATAATTCTCTTATAATCAGATCTATTACACCAAAGGTTTATCACTTACTGTCAAAATTGACGTGTCTCAATATTGCTTGAACAATCTGGTCATAAAACCTGTTAAGACCCTGAAATGAAAAAAAAATAAAATAAAATAAAATAATTTTCATGCAAACATATTTTATCAACAAATTTTGCAGAATCATGAATAACTTCATTTCATCAGCAATCAACTACAGTTTGAAGCTGACTTAAGACAAACATATTCAAGGCCTTTTCTCACTGAAAAGTCCACTACCAGTTTCATAAATGGCTGCATCTGCCCTAAATATGGTGGTGAAATGAGACATCAAAAGTCCCAAGCGAACCCTTTTGCCATGCAGGATACATACAACCGAGCGTGTGTGAGTGAGTTTGGTTTTATGCGGCTTTTAGCAATATTCCAGCAATATCACGGCGGGGAACACCAGAAATGGGCTTCACACATTGTACCCATGTGGGGATTCGAACACGCCTCTTCGGCGTGATGAGCGAACACTTTAACCACTAGGCTACTCCAACACCCCAGATACATACGAACCTGTATCGTGATGCATGATGATGTCAAATACAATTCAGATTTACTTAACAAAATACGAACCCTTTTTGAATGTGAGCATGTGTTACCAAGATCCAAACAATACCCCAAAAGAAAACACACAGACTGGACACACTTGTATCCATGTAAGGAATTGTACCCAGATAATAAGCAAACATTTCTCGGCTGCCCCGCTGAAAGATGTATTACCTTAGTATGTTGGTCACACATCCCTTTCCTCTTCCTGGGGATGTTGACTTCAATCTTTGCCCTGACTAACGTCATACTGGACGTGACAAGACACACATGAGCGAGACCCTCCTGCATCACCACGGCCGCCAAGTCAGCATGCTGTGTCGGGTCACAAGCGTTCTCTACAGCAAAGTCGTCAAGATAATACAATGGCAGCATCCTATGTTTGTGTTAGGTGAATGGTATTTTACAAGTTACTAAACTTTATAACAGAATTCCATGATAATCAGGATCATAATTAGTCTTCTGCAACCCATGCTTGTTGCAAGAGGCCACTAGCGGGATGAGGTGGTCGGGCTCAATGATTTGGTTGATGCATGTCATCGTATTCTAACCATGTAGTTTGACGCTCATGATGTCAGACTGTTTGGTCCAGACCTTTATTTACAGATTGCCATGAACAGCTTGAATTTTCCTGAGTGTGACATTAAATATCAAAGAAAAATTATAATGCAGTGTTCTCTCAATAATTGATACCGGACATCATGCAGATTATCTTACTGAGAATTATTCCTAAATGGAAACATTTTTGTAACTGATATGCAACATCAAATCTGTCAAAGATGGCATGTAAAATATATGTCAGTTGGTTATAACAGAAGTATAATGCTTGTGAAGACAAGGCTACCTATTCTCTCCAAACTGACGCTGTCCCACTCATGTTTGCCCAGAGTAAACTGTCGGTTCTGCTCCAGATCTAGGGTGTGGTAGGCTCCCATCTGAAAGGAAATCCACAGTTGACAAATGATATGGAATAGGCTAGTTAGTTTCTTTGGAGGTTGTTTAATGTTGCAGCCAGCAACATTCTAGCTCTTCTACACCAGCCTATAACCTGGTCTGGACATGACTATACAGTGATTCATTCAGCAAGGATGCATCTGGTTTATCAAAAGAACAGCTGCCCACTGTTTGCCATTGCATCAAATCAATTAAACAGCAAACTTAACGCTTAACCCTGACATACTGGTTCTCACAGATGTTCCTGCCATTACACTCACCCTGACATACTGGTTCTCACAGATGTTCCTGCCATTACACTCACTCACCTGACATACTGGTTCTCACAGATGTTCCTGCCATTACTCACCCTGACATACTGGTTCTCACAGATGTTCCTGCCATTACACTCACCCTGACATACTGGTTCTCACAGATGTTCCTGCCATTACTCACCCTGACATACTGGTTCTCACAGATGTTCCTGCCATTACACTCATCCTGACATACTGGTTCTCACAGATGTTCCTGCCATTACTCACCCTGACATACTGGTTCTCACAGATGTTCCTGCCATTACACTCACCCTGACATACTGGTTCTCACAGATGTTCCTGCCATTACACTCACCCTGACATACTGGTTCTCACAGATGTTTCTGCCCTTCACCCGCAACACACAAGCCTGTGTGTCAAAGTCGATACCCTCCACTTGGATAGTGAGAGTTGTCCGCACCTTGTTGACGCTCACACTTCCTGTTGCAGACTCATTCTGGACTTTCCTAAAACAAGGGAAGAGTAAACTTGATATGGATCCATGATCATCTACAGCTTCATTTAAACTATCCGGTCCCATCTACCACCAAAGCATCACTTTAACATCTCAAACCACCAACTCGTCACATACTTTCACTTACTCATAAGAGTAACTGGATTTGACAGTTGGCTTTAGAGTTGTGTAATATTAAAATTGGTCTGAATTTGTTGTAAATGGGTCTAAGGTATACTTGTGCCATTGTATAAAATAGTTTTGAAATGTGGAATGTCCAAGGACTGGCTGTCTGAAAAAGTGACCAGTCCTGAACAAACACAGCCAGTCCAAAAAACTAAAACAATAAAAAATCAACAAATGCTGAAACAAGTATGAGAAAGAGCATGACTGCTGAAACAAGTATGAGAAAGAGCATGATTGCTGAAACAAGTATGAGAAAGAGCATGATTGCTGAAAAAAGTATGAGAAAGAGCATGATTGCTGAAACAAGTATGAGAAAGAGCATGATTGCCTAGACGAAGTTCAAACCAAGTTAAGTTTTTGTTTTTCAAATATTTCCCCAGGCCAAAGGACGGCCTAACTTATTTAATAGACCATCCTTCACAAAACTAGATCGTCAAGGACAGTGGGATGGGCTATATTTTATACACTACTTATGCTCATGCTCATGATGTTGGTCACTGGATTGTTTGAGTTATTGACATATTGGAATATTATGGAGTGTGGTGATAAACAAAAAACAAACAAATCCTGGGTATACATTATTATTTTCATAAGAGAATGGAGATCAGAAGCTGTATTTAATGTCAACAAATGATCATAGATTACCTGATGGTAGTTGAACGCAGTGAGTCAGACACCTGGACCAGGTTATAGGCATGCCACATGTCTTCAGCCTCCTCTGGCACCAGGGTTACAGACCTGAAGGGAAATAACAACTGTAAAGTAACAACAGGCTAACAACTAACACTGGTATTGCTTGCAATATGTTGATCAATCAATAATCAATTGTAATCATAAACCCCTTCAGAAAAGTCATGTGGGCAATAACAGGACACAATCATAACATTGTGCAAAACAGGCACAGATTAAAACTACCATTAAGATGATCAAGGATACTTCCTTTTGAGACATGTACAAATCTTTGTTGTTTACATTGCAGTCTAATGTGTCAGGAAACCGCATCAGTTGTCATTCGTTTGTTCCTTTGTTCCTGAGTGGGGTGTTACGCCGCTTTTAGCAATATTCCAGCAGTATCATGGCGGGGCAACACCAGAAATGGGCTTTAAATATTGTACCCATGTGGGGAATCAAACCTGGGCCTTCGGTGTGACGTGCAAACGCTTTAACCGCTGGGTTATCCCATCGCCCCGTCTTAATTTAACAAATATAACAAAGAGAAACATACTTTATAAAGTTTAATTTGATGTTTCCTTTTTTTCGTGAATATCAATTGGTCACCTGAGGTCATTGATAACTTCTGACACAAGCGAGATTGATCGATTGACAAATTATTCAATTAATCTCTCCAGCACTAGTAACAACACTCCAATCAAAACTTGCTTCTAATTGGAAACAATTTAATTTTCTACATTGACATACTCATTTCATGTTCAGTGACTGCATATGATTGTTTGTGTCACTTCCTAAATATATGACACATCTACATTGGTTACACTTTCTGTTTATGCTGAACATTTAATTTTTCTTTTCAGGTTCTGTTGTGAATATAATGTCAAATAGAACAACATAATGTCTTTCACAGAATTTGTGCAAATACAAAGGGGAACATTGCCCATTACACATCAATAATCTGGTAAGTATAAGGACAAGAGGATCATTTGGTAAATGGTGACTGGAGTGGGGTATTACAGTTCTATTGTTTTGTTCTGAATGGAGACAGGATTTTTTCAGTCTATTACTGTAGTTGAAATTTGAAATACATTTACCACATAATAATTAAATATGTATATCCTAGTATTATGGTTTTTTGAATGGTGACGAAACAATTGTTATTGTCTCACAACAGCTCAATAACTTATGAAAGACAACTTTGTCTGATGTCATCAATCATGTGAGTATTTACAATATCAAACTTCGTTATGGAAAGAGTTCCTCCCCTTCCCCCATTTCTTTCTTCCACAGATTAACAGAGGTAATACAACATGGTTCGACTCTATATATTGTAATTAATTTGGGGGCTTTTAGTTATTTTTGTGAGTTCTCTAGTAATTGTTGTGTTAGGTTTTGTTAATAATTTTAGAATATATTAATTTATAAATATCATTTGGGATGGGGAACGGGAGGAACCCTTACCTTTGTTATAGAGGAAGTAAAAATTGAGAACCGAAAATATCTCATGTCCCAAAATATATATATAATATAATTTGACGATATATATTTGATCAATATTTAAGTCTATGTCTTAATTTCGTTTCTTTTGTCCGTGAGTCCACCATGAATTTTGTCGAATTGGCAGTGTGTACAGATTCTCCATGGCTCCGAATTAGTTCCGTTACAAATTTACTAACAGCCGCCCAAATGTGTCATTTCTATAAAAACACACCAGGACCTGATAAATGTAACACTGAATCGCTGATCTTACATCAGATATGTAGATATTTTATCGAATTTCAAATTCAGTTTGAAAAGGTAACATCACATAAAACGAAAAGTACAACACAAACACTTCAGTTACTAGTCTTGCAATGATAAGAGGCAACACGAGTGACATGAGACAGCAAACAGTTGACACAAGTGACGGTTTTGTATGTTCTTCAGTTTTAAACTTACCCTTCGCCATGTTTCTCAATATCTCTGTGTATCAGCTTCATGTTGTTACCTTCTTCACACAGTTATTTTTAAATGTTCTAGTGAAGGACAGACGAGCATATATGAAAAATAGCAGTGACTGCGATATTGCACATTTTGGCGTAAGACGGACTGACACGTTCGCTATAAAAGAACCGATTTCATTGGTCAAAAGATATTTTTAATCCAATCGAATCAAGCCTAACAGTGGAGTTTTCGTCTGCTATATCAAGAAAAGATAACTCTTACAAACACAGTGTATTTAAAAATGGGAATCATATTCGAACACCGGTGATCATATATTTAAACATACTAAAAGTGAACACAATAATCACAGTTCACTTCTATTGCTTTACGCGGCTGTCTGATACTTCCCGCAAAGAGAGCCGAATTGATGGCTAACGCAACGGAAAATGACAAAATGGTCTGCTCTCTGTAGGGACAGCTGAAAATTATTGATTGGTTACTCCTGCCCTGTGAAGCTTTCCATAATCCAGTGGGTGCATGTTATTTACATAATGATAGGAAACTGGAGTTTCTTCGGATTCTGTTAGTTGGAAATGAACTATTTGATGTAAAGAACCCTTTAATGTTAATAGTACTATAATATTAACCACAAATATTCAACATATTTGTTTCGAATTCCCCTTTTCGCAGCGACTCTTAGACTTACAGTAGAGTGATGTCAACAGTGCACTTGACAAGTCATAAAGGCCTTTTAGTTTTCCCAACGCCATCATAATACGTACTTACGCACGCACGCACGCGTGCACACATACGTTTGCACTTTCATTATTAGAGTCAGTGAGTGAGTTGAGTTTTACTCCGTACTCAGCAATTTTCCAGCTATATGGCGGCGGTCTGTAAATAATCGAGTCTGGACCAGACAATCCAGTAATCAACAGCATGAGCATCAATCTGCGCAATTGGGAACCGATGACATGTGTCAACCAAGTCAGCGAGCCTGACCACCCGATCCCGTTAGTCCCCTCTTACGACAAGCATGGGTTACTGAAGGCTAATATTCTCACCCGGACCTTCTTGGGTTTCATTATTAGAAAAGCTGGCTATAGTAAGCTGTTGATGGTTAACAATCCGGCTTATACATTTATGGGGATGGAACTAGTGGGCATGGGAAACATTATACCCGTTTGATAGGGGTCATAGGCCTCACTCCGATTGAATGTAAATGTAAATTATACACTGCTACCTTCTACGATCTCACATAGTCGGATCCAAATGGGGTTGGCGTGTGTGTGTGTGTGTGTGTGGGGTTGGTTGTGCAGGTGCACCCTCCTTTTGTCCTGAAAGTTTGTTCAATGACCATTGAAACTCGGGTGAAAATGAAGTGTGCACCCCCCTTTTCTCAATAGTGTGCACCCCCCTTTCTCAAAAAGCTGCATCCGCACCTGTCTCATCAATTAATTTGGCTGGGCGGATACAGCTTTTTGAGAAAAGAGAGGTGCACGTGCATGTGGGTGTGCACAGATCAGATGGAGGGGGTGTGCACAGATCAGATGGAGGGGAATGTGTGGAGGCACACAGTTTTCACGAGGGGTTTCAATGAGGGGTGTTTGAGGGTGCGCACCCCTGCAACAACAACAACAACACCCCCCCCCTCTTGCTGGATCAAGTCCGATGCGCGGGATAGAACCTGTGGACGAGCGGGCAACTGAAACATGATACTCCTTTGACTGGGGCCATAGGCCTCACTCCGATTGAATGTAAATTACAATGCTATCATATACATTTTCATCAACAGCAATGGCTGGTTAATTCTGGCCGTTGAAGACAGCCACACGCAGTACACATTTGTACCACCTGTTCGGCTACAAGTCAGTCCACTAAATATTAGTTGCGTGAACTCAGTAAAACATCAATAGCGGTACAAGAAATACAAGGAAAGGGAGAGTTATCTCCCTTCCGTTAGTGCCGGCCGTTGCGTAGCTACCGATCTCAGCAAAACGACGCCATTGTTGATGCTAATATTTTTGCTGTATCTCGCCATTCTTGGTCAATATCTACCTTCGATTTTGACGATCGCTTGAGTTTTTCCCCATACAGTCCAGCAGTTACGTTCAAGGTACCAATGAATCCCAGTTTTGTGACTTTGTGACGACTGGCCGATGTGTATCGTTAGTAACGTCGTTAACATATTTGTTCTCCAAATCTGAAAAGACCCCTGACAGTGTTGCCTTGAAACACGTACTTAAATGGACCCTTAAACGTTTTCTTGGATACAGGAAACGTATTCCTTCTGTGTATAACATCTGGTTTTAGAGGGGGGAAAGGGGTTTTCTTAAAATGGCGAATCCTGACATGTGTAACGACCATTCCCTCTTCCCCGAAGTGTAGAGACTCTACGAGATTCTTTACTGCACCAAACAAGCATTGATACAAATACACACTAGTGTATCTTCATAGCTACTTATATATAACTATGACTTACAAACGCTTATTTCAAGAATTCTTATCACTTCTCTCCTACACAGAGACCATGTTTCACCAGTCGTCCACCCTTGCTGTCACTCCTGTGCCACGTCGAGTAGGTGTACTTAGGGTTTTAGAAACAAACTGTGTAGAATGTAAACTATTGAAACTGAAAGTTGTATCAGCCCCTGTTGGGACCTTACGTTATTAACACCCACATGACATAATTTTCTCAGTATTTGTTTTCACAAGAGATCAATGTCTGAGACAAAGAGCACGGTGTCCATGTGTAATGTTTTATGAACTCCTCCTCTATGACTAGTCTTTCCTTACCCAGCATGCAACCCACCCTTCATATCACCCTTGTCTCATTATTTATCAGCGTCCTTGTGTGTTCCACCCTGAGCCCCTGTCCAACCTTCCCACCTCCTACATCTCTGTCCCCGACCCAGTCCCCGCCTCTGTTTCTGTCAACATCACCGGCCAAGTTATTGTGGCTGACACTGACTTTGTGGAGATAGATCTGGGCAGTGAGGCAGACACACAACCCTTCCCACCCCAATCCTTCCTGAGAGCCTTGCTGTCCCGTTTCATCCGTCTGGTGAAGAGAGTCTTCACCTCCAACAAAAACAACGTATAAAGTGACATTTTGTGGGACATTTGTGGCAAATTAGTCACAAACAACACCTGTTATAATTTCCAGTTGTTTGTTATTTCGTTAGTAAACTTTGGTTTGTTTTGTGTTCAAATTGTTGTTTGCTGCATTATTTTGTTATATGAAGTATTCGCTACTTATGTTACATAATAGATCACAGTCAAGCATAACCCAAAGCTTCCAGTGACATTACAGAAATCTGCAGCCCCATTTGTCTGTCGGGGAAACGTTTGTAGATCTCCACAGGTCTGTGACATCATGGCGAAAACGTATAGTATATGCAATAGGTGCGTTTTGTTTGCGCATACACATACCCAGAATGTGATTTGAAAATTTGTTGTGAACATTAGATACCACCTTATTCTTAATTTCTCATGCCATCAGATGTCCAAATACATTTTTAATCATTGAAACCTTGAAATCTAGAGATCGAAGGAGTGGTGTTTTACACTGCGCGCTGTTAGCATTATTCCGGCCATATCAGGGTGTACAATTTTAGGAGTTACATCATGTTGTTGACATCCGGATTATATATGGCAGCCGTTCCTGCTTCATTCCCACGGATTGTGATGATTTAAGCATAAGGACTGCACGGTATTACCCGTATACCGGTATATTGCATATTTTCAAATGATACGTATGGCAATAGTTTTTTTTCTGAGAACTGGTATATTGGGTAAAGAACAAATTTTTGTGAATGTCTTTATGGTTTAAATTAAAATCTACACAAACTTTCATTCACAACAAATATTTTTTCCTTCGTTATTCAATGACAAAACGGCATACTGTAATCCTATAAATTGTATTTGAAAATAAAATCTAATGCAACCTAATTTTGAGATTGCTGCTATCAGAACCATAACATATATGTCTAGGGACTTATAATGTAGAAAATTAGATTGCCATGCACAATTAGTGTCACTCACTGGCAAACACTTTAGTTCCCGATATATCGCAATACGTATTGCAATACGGATACCCGAATCGCAATACATTGCAAGACAATTTATTTGCCAATATACAGCCCTATTAAGCATACAGGTTACAGTTACAGTTATCACACGTCAGTGATTTACAGCAGGTATGAAGTATTATAGTTTACCGTCTAGTGAGGTATTTTGACAGTCGCCGATTGTCATCGTGATCAGGGTGGTCCAAGGTCCGGTTGTTTGTGATCTAGTCAGTGTGACGTAGGTTTGCATACATTTACATTACATGGGTCCAGTTCCAGTTGCTGTAAGTTCATATACATTCAAGTTTCAAAGTTAATTATACAATTTATTTGTTTACAGTCCAGGAATATCAGTGGTCTGAGAGATACAGACAAGTACCAGGTTCTAAATCCACATGTGACAGACAATGCCCAGCGACTGGTGTATCCAGTACAGTTGACAGCCGGTATCGCGTCTCCAAACTCGAGACCTTGTACAACATTTTTCAGTTCAGAGAATACTACAATAAACTCGTTACTGAAGTTCATATCGTTGTTGTGTGATCCTTCTGCATTTTGTGAGTTCAGTAATTCGTAATTTGTAAGGTCCTTGTGACATATTCATGATATTGTCATTGAACCTCGTCTCCAAACTCTGGTGATATTTATTTGTCACTGGTGGCAAAATCCCTTCATATTTTTTTTAGTTTTTCTTACTTGTAATTTTCGGCCGTTTCATAAAAATATATACATCGCGCCAATTGATTTCTGGTTGTGTTTGATAATAACCCTCAAATCAGAAATCTATTTCTGTCAACATCACCGGCCAAGTTATTGTGGCTGACACTGACTTTGTGGAGATAGATCTGAGCAGTGAGGCCGACACACAACCCCTCCCACCCCAGTCCTTCCTGAGAGCCTTGCTGTCCCGTTTCATCCGTCTGGTGAAAAGATTCTTCACCTCCAACAAAAACGACCTTTTAAAGTGACATTTTGTAATACTCCGAGATGTCACATTTCTTTTTAGGGGCATATAAGCAAATAAATTAACAAAATCAACGAGTCTCTTTTCATTTTTCATTGTTGCTCTTTTCTAAATAAATATTTGTTGTTCGAATTGTTGTTTGTTACTTTATTTTTATAATACATGTTGGTGACTCATTACATACGGATTGAAATCAAGCATAAACAAAAGGTACCAGTCACAGATCTTTTGCAACCCATAACCAGATCAGGTGGTCATAGTAGCTGACACATGTCATCGTATTCCAGTTGCTTAGATCGATGCTCAAGATGTCAATCATCGGACTGTCTGGCCCAGATTCAGTTATTTACAGACCGCCACCATAAAACTGTACGATTGCAGAATGCTAGGTAAATCAAAACAAACGTAAAAAAATCGATTCACGTTCACTTTTGGGAGGGAAACCCTGGTTCGAATCCCCACATGGGTACAATGTGTGAAGCCCATTTCTGGTGTCCCCCCGCCGTGACATTGCTGGAATATTGCTAAAAACGGCGTAAAACAATACTCAGTCAGTCAGTCCACATATTCTTACCATATTCAGACTTCCAATATCCCCATATAGTGAGTGGTAAATGTCAGAAAACACATTCAAACACTTCTTATGAATTGAGGGCGGTGGCGTAGCCTAGTGGTTAAAGCGTTCGCTCGTCACGCCGAAGACCCGGGTTTGATTCTCTACATGGGTACAATGTGTGAAGCCCATTTCTCCCGCCGTGATATTGCTGGAATATTGCTAAAAGCGGCGTAAAACTAAACTCACCCACTCTTATGATAAATAGAGTCTGGGGAAATGTCCTACTTAAAGTGGGGAATTGCCCAATGGAAGGGGATATATTACAAGAAATGAAAATTCAACAAATGTTTTTATATTTAGTATTTATTCCTGAAACCTTAAGATATGAAAGTCGAATGGGATAGATGCAGTTGTATATGTTTATGTATCAAGACAAACCATTTACTCACCATTCGCACAAACAAAGACTATTTTTAATTGTCGAACAAATTGACTAAGAAAATAATAAATCAGTCGTGTTTGAATAAAACATGATACATGAGCCATTTGGAATAACATTCGCCATTACAATTTTTATTAAACTGTATACAGTTTCCAATACTATATCTTAATCTCAACTCACTCCTGAACTGAGCAATATTTGGTTAAGCAGAATTTAGCAAGCATGACACTGTTGTTTAAAAACGCCACACAGACATATCACAAGCATACTCGTGCTTTGAAAGCGTTTGTTGTTTGAAAAGAACCTAGGACTGCCCGTTTTTAAAGAGGGCTTAATAACGGATAAAATAACGTTTTGTGTCCATGGACGTAAATTAGATTAGGAAAATTGAGTGATCTCCATACCTGATCATAGGCGGATCCACAGGGGGGTGGGGGTGGTGCGGAGGTGTTTACATGGAAAGTTTCAATCAGTATTGCACCCGTGTGCAGTTGGGGGATTTCATATTTACAAAAAAGATTGGACACCTAAAATAGGAGACAGTTTGCGATTATCGTAACCCTGATGAGATTCGACATATTTGTTTCGTATTCGAAATCCCCTTTTCGCGGCGATTCTTACACTTACAGTAGAGTGATGTCAACAGTGCAATTGACAAGTCATAAAGGCCTTTTAGTTTTCCCAACGCCATCATAATACGTACTTACGCACGCACGCACGCGTGCACACATACGCGTTATGCATGGTGCATGAAGAGCAGTTTGCACTTTCATTATTAGAGTCAGTGAGTGAGTTGAGTTTTACTCCGCACTCAGCAATTTTCCAGCTATATGGCGGCGGTCTGTAAATATTCAAGTCTGGACCAGACGATCCAGTAATCAACAGCATGAGCATCAATCTGCGTAATTGGGAACCGATGACATGTGTCAACCAAATCAGCGAGCCTGACCACCCGATCCCGGTATGGGTTACTGAAGGCTAATATTCTCACCCGGACCTTCTTGGGTTTCATTATTAGAAAAGCTGGCTATAGTTAGCTGTTGATGGTTAACAATCCAGCTTATATATTTTGGGGATGGAACTAGTGGGCATTGATAGGGGTCATAGGCCTCACTCCGATTAAATGTAAATGTAAATATACACTGCTACCTTCTACAATCTCACATAGGCGGATCAAGATGGGGTTGGTGTGTGTGTGTGTGTTGGGGTGGTGGGGTGGGGTGGTGGGGGCTGTGCAGGGTTGCCTACCCCTCCTTTTGTCCTGAAAGTTTGTTCAGTGACCATTGAAACTTGGGTGAAAATGAAGTGAAAATGAAGTGTGCACCCCCTTTCATCAATAGTGTGCACCCCTCTTTCTCAAAAAGCTGCATCCGCACCTGTCTCATCAATTAATTTGGCTGGGCGGATACAGCTTTTGAGAAAAGAGGGTGCACGTGGATGTGGGTGTGCACAGGTCAGACGGAGGGGGTGGGGTGGGGTGGAGGCGCACAGTTTATTTTCACCCGTTTTCACGAGGGTTTTAATGGCGGGGGTGGGGGTTGGGGTGCGCACCCTACAACAACAACACCTCCCACCCCTCTTGCTGGATCAAGTCCGATGCGCGGGATAGAACCTGTGGACGAGCGGGCATCTGAAACATGATACTCCTTTGACTGGGGCCATAGGCCTCACTCCGATTGAATGTAAATTACAATGCTATCATATACATTATCATCAACAGCAATGGCTGGTTACTTCTGGCCGTTGAAGACAGCCACTCTCAGTACACATTTGTACCACCTGTTCGGCTACAAGTCAGTCCACTAAATATTAGTTGCGTGAACTCAGTAAAACATCAATAGCGGTACAAGAAATACAAGGAAAGGGAGAGTTATCTCCCTTACGTTAGAGCCGGCCGTTGCGTAGCTACCGATCTCAGCAAAACGACGCCATTGTTGATGCTAATATTTTTGCTGTATCTCGCCATTCTTGGTCAATATCTACCTTCGATTTTGACGATCGCTTGAGTTTTTCCCCATACAGTCCAGCAGTTACGTTCAAGGTACCAATGAATCCCAGTTTTGTGACTTTGTTTCAGTCTGTTGTTAAATATGACGACTGGCCGATGTGTATCGTTAGTAACGTCGTTAACATATCTGTTCTCCAAATCTGAAAGGACCCCTGACAGTGTTGCCTTGAAACACGTACTTAAACGGACCCTTAAACGTTTTCTTGGATACAGGAAACGTATTCCTTCTGTGTATAACATCTGGTTTTAGAGGGGGAAAGGGGTTTTCTTAAAATGGCGAATCCTGACATGTGTAACGACCATTCCCTCTTCCCCGAAGTATAGAGACTCTACGAGATTCTTTACTGCATCAAACAAGCATTGATACAAATACACACTAGTGTATCTTCATACCTACTTATATATAACTATGACTTACAAACGCTTATTTCAAGAATTCCTATCACTTCTCTCCTACACAGAGACCATGTTTCACCAGTCGTCCACCCCTGCTGCCACTCCTGTGCCACGTCGAGTAGGTGTGCTAGGGTTTTAGAAACAAACCGTGTAGAAAGTAAACTATTGACACTGAAAGTTGTATCAGCCCCTGTTGGGACCTTACGTTATTAACACGCACATGACGTTAATTTTCTCAGTATTTGTTTTCACAAGAGATCAATGTCTGAGACAAAAAGCATGGTGTCCATGTGTAATGTTTTATGAACTTCGTCTCCATGACTGGTCTTTCCTTACCCAGCATGCAACCCACCCTTCATATCACCCTTGTCTCATTATTTATCAGCGTCCTTGTGTGTTCCACCCTGAGCCCCTGTCCAACCTTCCCACCTCCTACATCTCTGTCCCCGACCCAGTCCCCGCCTCTGTTTCTGTCAACATCACCGGCCAAGTTATTGTGGCTGACACTGACTTTGTGGAGATAGATCTGGGCAGTGAGGCAGACACACAACCCCTCCCACCCCAGTCCTTCCTGAGAGCCTTGCTGTCCCGTTTCATCCGTCTGGTGAAGAGAGTCTTCACCTCCAACAAAAACGACCTATAAAGTGACATTTTGTGGAACATTTGTGTCAAATTACTCATAAACAACACCTGTTATAATTTCTAGTTGTTTGTTATTTCGTTAGTAAACTTTGGTTTGTTTTGTGTTCAAATTGTTGTTTGCTGCATTATTTTGTTATATGAAGTATTCGCTACTTATGTTACATAATGGATCACAGTCAAGCATAACCCAAAGCTTCCAGTGACATTACAGAATTCTGCAGCCCCATTTGTCTGTCGGGGAAACGTTTTTAGATCTCCACGGGTCTGTGACATCATGGCGAAAACGTATAGTATATGCAATAGGTGCGTTTTGTTCGCGCATACACATCCAGAATGTGATTTGAAAATTTGTTGTGAACATTAGATACCACCTTATTCTTAATTTCTAATGCCATCAGATGTCCAAATACATTTTTAATCATTGAAACCTTGAAATCTAGAGATGGAAGGAGTGGTGTTTTACACTGCTGTTAGCATTATTCCCGCCATATCAGGGTGTAGGAGGTACATCATGTTGTTGACATCCGGATTATATATGGCAGCCGTTCCTGCTTCATTCCGACGGATTGTGATGATTTAAGCATAAGGACTGCACGGTATTACCGGTATACCGGTATATTGCATATTTTCAAATGATACATATGGCAATAGTTTTTTCTGAGAATTGGTATATTGGGTAAAAAACATATAAAGCTTTTGTGAGTGTCTTTATGGTTTAAATTAAAATCTACACAGACTTTCATTCATGTTCCTTCCTTATTCAGTGACAAAACGGCACACTGTAATCCTATTAATTGTATTTATCAAATAAAATCCATGACTATATGCAACCTAATTTTGAGATTGCTGCTATCAGAACCATAACATATGTCTAGGGACTTATAATGTAGAAAATAAGATTGCCATGCACAATTAGTGTCACTCACTGTCACACACTTAGTTTCCGGATATATCGCAATACGTATCGCACTACATTGCAAGACAATTTATTTGCCAATACACAGCCCCATTAAGCATACAGGTTACAGTTACAGTTATCACAAGTCCGTGATTTACAGCAGGTATGAAGTATTACAGTTTACCGTCTAGTGAGGTATTTCGACAGTCGCCGATGGTCGTTTTGATCAGGGTGGTCCAAGGTCCGCTTGTTTGTGATCTGGTCAGTGTGACGTAGGTTTGCATACATTTACATTACATGGGTCCAGTTCCAGTTGCTGTAAGTTCATATACTTTCAACTTTCAAAGTTAATAATACAATTTATTTGTTTACAGTCCAGGAATATCAGTCGTGGGAAGGATACATAGAGAATACTACACGAGGTCTCATTACATACGAATTATACGAAACGAGTGTCCTTCCTATGGTATCTGACCGAGCGAAAGCGAGGTCAGATAACATAGGAAGGTCACGAGTTTCGTATAATTCGTATGTAATGAGACCGAGTGTGGTATTTTATTTATTACCCACGTCTTACATGCATAAAGTTGACAAAATAGCGTATTTTTGTTAATATTTTGGTTTCAAACCGAAACCGGTTTCATAAAGAGGTTGCGGAAGAATTTTGTACTGTAGTACAATATTTGCATGACGTCACTGTAATGACGTCACTGCCTTGGTAACCGACGTCACGATGCATGTCAGTTGTCATCGCCTCGTACAGCCTCCTACAGTAAACTACTCCGTAGCATCTCGTTTCTTGGTTTGCAGTTGCTTCATTCGGCTAACATCACTGGTGGAAACATTGCGTTTACGTTTTTCGACGGGTATAATGTCTCAGTTCGACTCACAATTAAACAGCGACACGGCAACGTTCGCGATGTTTACATTCCCACAATGCATTTAAGCTGTAGAATGAATGAATTCACGTGTATGTTATGAATGAACAAGTAGTTCCGTCACAACGTGACCTAACTGAGAGGTCATCGGTTATCCAATCAAATCGTTAGAATCTCAGGTCAAGTCGTTACGACACAGGTCAACGCGATACGACACACGTGTGACGTACGAGATTAGTATGCAACTACCCATACGTTGACCACGTGGGTAATAAAGACAAGTACCAGGTTCTACATCCATGATGTGACAGACAATGCCCAGCGACTGGTGTATCCAGTACAGTTGACAGCCGGTATCGCGTCTCCTAACTCGAGACCTTGTACAAGATGTTTCAGTTCAGAGAATACTACAATAAACTCGTTACTGAAGTTCATATCGTTGTTGTGTGATTCTTCTGCATTTTGCGAGTTCAGTAATTCGTAATTTGTAAGGTCCTTGTGACATATTCATGATATTGTCATTGAACCTCGTCTCCAAACACGGGTGGTATTTATTTGTTACATTTTGAGACTGGTGGCAAAATTCTTTCATATTGTTTTAGTTTTTCTTACTTGTAATTTTCGGCCGTTTCATAAAGATATACACATCGCGCCAATTGATTTCTGGTTGTGTTTGATAATAACCATCAAATCAGAAATCTATTTCTGTCAACATCACCGGCCAAGTTATTGTGGCTGACACTGACTTAGTGGAGATAGATCTGGGAAGTAAGGCAGACATACAACCCCTCCCACCCCAGTCCTTCCTGAGAGCCTTGCTGTCCCGTTTCATCCGTCTGGTGAAAAGAGTCTTCACCTCCAACAAAAACGACCTTTTAAAGTGACATTTTGTAACACTCCGAGATGTCACATTTCTTTTTAGGGACATATAAGCAAATAAATTAACAAAATCAACGAGTCTCTTTTCATTTGTCATTGTTGTTCTTTTCTAAATAAGCTTTTGTTGTTCAAATTGTTGTTTGTTACTTTATTTTTATAATACATGTTGGTGACTCATTACATACGGATTGAAATCAAGCATAAACAAAAGGTACCAGTGACAGATCTTTTGCAACCCAGAACCAGATCAGGTGGTCACAGTGGCTGACACATGTCATCGTATTCCAGTTGCTTAGATCGATCTCAAGATGTCAATCACTGGACTGTCTGGCCCAGACTCGGTTATTTACAGACCGCCACCATAAAACTGTACGATTGCAGTTGTTAGGTAAATCAAAACAAACGTAAAAAAATCGATTTCGGCCGTCTGATTTTTCTATCTGTCTTCCTGGACCCATATGCAAACTGCACGTTCACTTTTGGGAGGGAGCCCTGGTTCGAATCCCCACATGGGTACAATGTGTGAAGCCCATTTCTGGTGTCCCCCGCCGTGACATTGCTGGAATATTGCTAAAAGCGGCGTAAAACCATTTTCAGTCAGTCAGTCCACATATCCTTACCATATTCAGACTTCCAATATCCCCATATAGTGAGTGGTAAATGTCAGAAAACACATTTCGACACTTCTTATGAATTGAGGGCGGTGGCGTAGCCTAGTGGTTAAAGCGTTCGCTCGTCACGCCGAAGACCCGGGTTTGATTCTCCACATGGGTACAATGTGTGAAGCCCATTTCTCCCGCCGTGATATTGCTGGAATATTGCTTAAAACGGCGTAAAACTAAACTCACCCACTCTTATGAAAAATAGAGTCTGGGGAAATGTTCTACTTTGAGTGGGGAATTGCCCAATGGAAGGGGATATATTACAAGAAATGAAAATTCAACAAATGTTTTTATATTTAGTATTTATTCCTGAAACCTTAAGATATGAAAGTCGAATGGGATAAATGCAGTTGTATATTTTTATGTATCAAAACAAACCATTTACTCACCATTCGCACAAACAAAGATTATTTGTAATTGTCGAACAAATTAACTTAGAAAAGAATAAATCAGTCGCCATTTAGAATAACATTCGCCATTACAATTTGTATTAAACTGTATACAGTTTCCAATACTATATCTTAATCTCAACTCACTCCTGAACTGAGCAATATTTGGTTAAGCAGAATTTAGCAAGCATGCCACTGTTGTTTAAAAACGCCACACAGACATATCACAAGCATACTCGTGCTTTGAAAGCGTTTGTTGTTTGAAAAGAACCTTGGACTGCCCGTTTTTAAAGAGGGCTTAATAACGGATAAAATAACGTTTTCATGCCCATGGACGTAAATTAGATTAGGAAAATGGAGTGATCTCCATAACCTGATCATAGGCGGATCAACATGGGGGTGGGGGTGGGGGGTGGTGCAGGGGTGTTTACAAGGAAAGTTTCAATCAGTATTACACCCATGTGCTGTTGGGGGATTTCATATTTACAAAACAGATTGGACACCTAAAATAGGAGACAGTTTGCGATTATCGTAACCCTGATGAGATTCGATATATTTGTTTCGTATTCGAAATCCCCTTTTCGCGGCGATTCTTAGACTTACAGTAGAGTGATGTCAACAGTGCAATTGACAAGTCATAAAGGCCTTTTAGTTTTCCCAACGCCACCATAATACGTACTTACGCACGTACGCACGCGTGCACACATACACGTTATGCATGGTGCATGAAGAGCAGTTTGCACTTTCATTATTAGAGTCAGTGAGTGAGTTTTACACCGCACTCAGCAATTTTCCAGCTATATGGCGGCGGTCTGTAAATAATCGAGTCTGGACCAGACAATCCAGTAATCAACAGCATGAGCATCAATCTGTGCAATTGGGAACCGATGACATGTGTCAACCAAGTCAGCGAGCCTGACCACCCGATCCCAGTCGCCTCTTACGACAAGCATGGGTTACTGAAGGCTAATATTCTCACCCGGACCTTCTTGGGTTTCATTATTAGAAAAGCTGGCTATAGTTAGCTGTTGATGGTTAACAATCCAGCTTATATATTTTGGGGATGGAACTAGTGGGCATTGATAGGGGTCATAGGCCTCACTCCGATTAAATGTAAATGTAAATATACACTACTACCTTCTACAATCTCACATAGGCGGATCCAGATGGCGTTGTTGTGTGTGTGTGGGGGCTGTGCAGGGTTGCCCACCCCTCCTTTTGGCCTGAAAGTTTGTTCAGTGACCATTGAAACTTGGGTGAAAATGAAGTGTGCATCCCCCTTTTCTCAGTAGTGTGCACCCCCATTTCTCAAAAAGCTGCATCCGCACCTGTCTCATCAACAGCAGTGGCTGGTTAATTTGGCTGGGCGGATACAGCTTTTTTGAGAAAAGAGGGCTGCTTTTCCATGTGGGTGTGCACAGATCAGATGGAGGGAGGAGGGGGGAAAGACACAAGTTTATTTTCACCCGTTTTCACGAGGGTTTCAATGGGGGGGGGGGGTGTTTGAGGGTGCGCACCCCTGCAACAACAACAACAACACCTCCCACCCCTCTTGCTGGATCAAGTCCGATGCGCGGGATAGAACCTGTGGACGAGCGGGCAACTGAAACATGATACTCCTTTGACTGGGGCCATAGGCCTCACTCCGATTGAATGTAAATTACAATGCTATCATATACATTTTCATCAACAGCAATGGCTGGTTACTTCTGGCCGTTGAAGACAGCCACTCTCAGTACACATTTGTACCACCTGTTCGGCTACAAGTCAGTCCACTAAATATTAGTTGCGTAAACTCAGTAAAACATCAATAGCGGTACAAGAAATACAAGGAAAGGGAGAGTTATCTCCCTTCCGTTAGTGCCGGCCGTTGCGTAGCTACCGATCTCAGCAAAACGACGCCATTGTTGATGCTAATATTTTTGCTGTATCTCGCCATTCTTGGTCAATCTATCTTCGATTTTGACGATCGTTTGAGTTTTTCCCCATACAGTCCAGCAGTTACGTTCAAGGTACCAATGAATCCCAGTTTTGTGACTTTGTTTCAGTCTGTTGTTAAATATGACGACTGGCCGATGTGTATCGTTAGTAACATCGTTAACATATTTGTTCTCCAAATCTGAAGAGATCCCTGACATTGTTGCCTTGATACACGTACTTAAACGGACCCTTAAACGTTTTCTTGGATACAGGAAACGTATTCCTTCTGTGTATAACATCTGGTTTTAGAGGGGGAAAGGGGTTTTCTTAAAATGGCGAATCTTGACATGTGTAACGACCATTCCCTCCTCCCCGAAGTGAAGAGACTCTACGAGATTCTTTACTGCATATAACAAGCATTGATACAAATACACACTAGTGTATCGTCATACCTACTTATATATAACTATGACTTACAAACGCTTATTTCAAGAATTCTTATCACTTCTCTCTTACACAGAGACCATGTTTCACCAGTCGTCCACCCCTGTTGCCACTCCTGTGCCACGTCGAGTAGGTGTGCTTAGGGTTTTAGAAACAAACTGCGTAGAAAGTAAACTATTGACACTGAAAGTTGTATCAGCCCCTGTTGGGACCTTACGTTTTTAACACGCAC